TGAAAATCACAGCAAATGAAATGATTTATATGATATACGACGACACTTCTTCAAGAGAAATCATTATCAATACTAGCAGTAGATGGCTATTCCGTTTGATTAAAGTACTTCAATTTCTATAACTAATTTCAATTTTAATTATCATTTTATACATCTTCGATGCATTTATGCTGATATAGTAACCGATATCATTGTACGAAATGAATTATATTCTATTCATCTCTGTTCTTTTTGTCTCTATCCATTATTTAGTTATTCAGATTTTTGATGTTCATATTATCTTCTCAATAAATTGTCGAACAAGAAATACTCCCGATATACTTATGAAGTCATTCTGACATCGATAAGAAAAGTGCAAAAGGGCTAACGAAATCACGAAAAAAATATTCGAAAGATCAATTCCACAAACTACAAGAAATTGTCAATCAAGTTGATATAAGTTTATACAAGGTGTATCTAAATAACACCGAATAAAATTCAAACAGCTCTGTTCGCATATTCAATTGAACTGTCAAATTCAGTTCGTTAAACAAAACTGTTGGCGTTTTTTCCAAAGCACTCTACGCAAAAATGTATTTCCCAATTTTGAACAACAGGGAATATTCGATCATATCGTGTGATACATCATTGTAATCAGAAAAAAAAGAATTCAAACATGCAAAATTCCAATATGGCGCCCTTTAGAAAATGCAAAGTTGAGTGTTGACTTTGACATCAAAAACGTCAGATTCCTTGTAAAGAAGTGCCTTTAGAATGTCCTTGTCAGGAATGTCTAGGTTGTTTGGTTATTGCTTGAAAAATAAAAACGAAAATTACAAATTTTCTTTTTTTTCAAATAATTCAAAAACTGAGAATGACTCATCGAGTTTTCCCGCAGATAAATGTTCAGCATGAAAATGTGCAACTTCGCCGTGATTTTACCGACCTCGTACGTCTTATAACCGAGATCCCAATGGTGGAGCTCGAAAAACGGGCACCCTGTATATACTGTCTCAACTAAACCCCACTTACAGATTCACCTTGTATAGAACAGTACTTATATTGAAAACAGCATTATCAACGACTTTTCTACAATCCTCCAATGATGTCAAAGAATTGGTGAGTGTGGCATCACGCACTAGGCGAATGGCTCTTCTCTGAATGGGATGCAAGAGAATCAGCGTGTTTGGGTGCTGAACCCCATATATGTGGGTAGTATGTTTTGGTAGTATCGAATTCAACTAGGTTGTTGGTTTCCCAGGCTGTTACCCTTGGTCTCGCAATTTTTTATGTTAGTTCTTCTCGTAATCAGGTACAGATTGATACTTTCCTTCTTTATAATAAGATAAACTTTTCCGTCAAAAAAAAAACACTTGTGTTTTTACCAATGATTATTTTGTTGACATTAATAACGTCATCATGATAAATCTTCGCCCTAGAATAATGAGGTTCTATCTGCCTTTTTTATTTGTTGGAATTTGAATGAGTTAGTCATAATTCAGACTTCTATCTACAGACTATTTCTCTCTTCAATTTGGTGTAACAACATCCTAATTAACTACCCACTTTGATTTATCATGGTCCTATCTACACCCAGTTAGAACTTGTTTCATCAAACCAATACATATACACCCTTGTTATCCCAGTTCATCAACACTAAACATTCACAGTCATAGTGAGAAATACATGAATTGAAACTGATTTTTTTTTCACCTTCATTTTTCATCACGAACTTGACAGCAGTGAATTAAAGAAGCCATACTACATATTAGTAGCTGAAAGTTACCGATTTTGAAGATTTCGAAAGTTGTGTCAAGAAACTCCAATACAAAAATACTCCTTTTTTTCAATATATCGAAGACTGGAACCTTTGGCACGATAATGCACTACACTGTTTTACCACTAACCAAACCGATTTTTAACGCCTCGACACGTGATTCGCTATAACTATGTTAGCATCTTCAGGAGAAGATTAAAACTAAAAAACTTTCAAGTTGCTGCATTGGGAGAAGGTAAACGCATTTAAAAAAATGAAAGCTGCATGAACGAGACACAGAACCTATTTCGCTGCATTCCTGGAAGATCTAAGTTGAATCAGTCATCTTGTACTTATCCGCATTTAGATTATTCGAAATATATTTCAGAAAAAATCTACGTGCCTCAACAACATATTACTAACACATATATACTTATACTTATATACAATGATTCAGAAGTGAATCTGATGGCTCTCAGAACATTTCAAATTAGTTTTATCGTATTATTTCATGAAACAAAGATGTATTTTATTGTATATTTGTCAGTTAGATCCCTGTTTAATTACTACAATAAAAAATCCTTCTGGAACAAAGTTCTATCTTCATTTAAGATATTCGAATTAACATTTATTTAAGAATGAAAAAAGATAACCGATAAGAACTTCAACCCATTTAAATATACTCGATCAGAACAAAAAATCTGATCGATTGAAATGGAACGAAATAGATGGAATCAATAGTTCGCAGCACGATTCTGAGCAACTATACTTGGTTCAGATATAGTACCAAGTAGTATTATTCTAGGGCTATGAAGATAGTGAATTTTGTGAGTTTGGATATCTGGTTCATTTCTAATTGTCTTATTCAATCATAGCTATAGAAGTTCCAGTTCGCAGTTCCGCCACGGTATTATATGTCGAACCTTTGGCGAGCACTTCCGAATAAAAAAAATACGAATACAACTCGTGATACTAATTTATAATACCAAGCTTGCTTCTTTATAAAAAAGCGTGAAGATCAAATTACTCATAAGGTGATAGACGCATCTTTAATTTTCAACCAAAGAATTATCATAGTTAAAACAGCGTAACCAATTGAGGAAAAGTTTTCCAGCGATGTTTTTCATACTCCACTTATCAATGAACTAGTCAATTGCATGACCGAACTATACACTTATCTCTCACATTCTCCTCATTTGAGATTGGTGAGTATAATGTAATTGGGTCAAATATAATTATTCTACAGGGTGCTTCTCGATATGGCCTTGAATCACTTGTTATCATATAACAGATGAGTAAGGTTTATTCATTGTTACTTCGAAGATCAATTAGTTGTGAAATCGAGCTATAGTTGAATGTGTTGAGATCATAATATACACAGTGAATTGTTTAAATTATAATATCTGATTCTGGTATACTCTGCGACTACATTGATAGTTAATCTTGTCTTGTTATCAAGAATAATATAAAATCACTGTACGTCAATATAGATAGAGTATTCAGAGTTTAAATCATATTCATCGACTGAATTTAACGATTCTTAGGTATCTCATTTCATTCATGGAAGCACCCCCGTATCTCACGTAATTATTGAGATAGGGTTCCGAAATTTGCAAGAGGAGATATTAAACAAGGTGATTTGAATGCGTTTCAACCTATTTCTATCCATCATCAATGTTTTTTCGAACTTCCAAAGGAAGAAAGCCATCAGTTCCACTCATTTCTGATTATACAGTGTCAACTTGATGAATTAGTTATTCAGTACCTACTGAAAAGTGAATAAAAAATATTTCACTACATCATTCGATCAATGCAGGGCTTAAAATTGTTGATGAATTCTTACACGAATTACTTTAACAACTTAACTTTGACAATACCTACAGACATTCATAACAAATGTTCAAAATGATAACCATTATTTTTTGAACAAATAAGATATCCTCTTCTCACAGTTGCTTCTAAGACATTGCTAAGCATTTCTGGGGTTATTCTATTGAATGCTTCGAAGACACTGTCCCTTAGTTCTTCTTCATCATCAAAGTTATTTGCGTATACAAAGTTTGATATATTCCCTAAGATAAAATCCAGCTGTGTCAAATCAGGTGACCGCGCCGGCCAAGGGACTGTAGAATGAGTACCAATCCATTTTTCTGGATAAAAACTAACAATTCTGAACTTCCGCAATCGGTAAATCATCCAGAGCTTCCTCAAGATGATTCTTAAGCAAATTTCTATAACGTTCGGAAGTCTGTGTTTCATAGTAAATAGAAGGACCAATAATTCGTGTACCAAATATTGCAACCCACATATTAAAGCCGAAACGGTTTTGGTGTCTCAATGTAATGTATAAATGTTCATTTTCTCGTAAACAATAATGTGAATTTTTTCTATCGAAGATACCATGATTAATGACCATGCTTTCATCAGTCCAGATGATTGTTCGAGGGAAATCTGCAAAATTTTGACATTTCCTGGTATACCACTCACAGAATGTCCTGCGCCTTTCGTCATCGCTTGGTTTTAGCGCTTGACATATTCTGAATTTGTATGAATGGAATTTTTGTTTCCACAAAATGAAATGGGTTGTTGATTGAAACCAGTTGATGAGGTATTAGTGTGTTGACTAATTTTCCTTCAAAATAAGTGGAACTGATGGCATTTTTTTCCTTTGGAGTTTCGAAAAAACATTGATGATGACCAAAAATAGGTCGAAACACAAATGAACCACCTTGTTTAATACATGGTTGAATTCAGTATAAAAAAACCTTTCAGAATCTGTGAAAAAATTTTGATGGTTCCACGAATACGAAACGTCGCATGAAAAAATCAATATCACCACGTTGGACGTCATCAAAAGTTGCTATGAAAAAGTATTCTCAGTTCTGCTGTATCTCTCATAATAACAGAGAAAAAAATAAAATATATATTCCAAAAACTCACTTTTTTCGATATAACTAAAAAACTAAAAATAATTCTGAAAATTTTCGAAGGCTCTTGATATGGGCCTCCAAATGCGCAACTTTTTCCCCATTAAAACGACTTCGTATCTCCTACCGTTTCCGAGATCCCCATGCTGTTCAACCTTATCTTGGACAGACTGTATATAATATGATAATTAAATCGCAGAACACATTTTATGCAAATTAAATTACACGCATTTGACAACTACACGAAACCTACACGAATTTCATGTAATTACACGCGAATTGGCAACACTGCAAACAACCCACCAGCAAATCGGCACTATTGTCTAAAAATCACTCACCTTTCTGTTCTCCCCGCAAAACCTGGTCACCATCTCAGACAGCTGCTGCGCCCTGGCGGTGTGCAGACTCAAGCGACCTTGAGACCCGTCCAGGATGACGCTAGTCGGCCGAGGGGCCGTGCAAGACGCTATCTCGCCGAGAGCGAACGACTTGAGCACCTGGAGGTGGTTCTGCTCCCGTTTGGCTAGATGTACGCCCCAATGGGATACCGCCACGAATTGGATGTCGGCGAGCTGAAAAGAAGGCAGAGATTGCATTTTCAGGCGATTCAGACAATGTGCTGTTTCGGTAAAATATGACTCATCAGTCGTGATCGGTCTATTACCAATCAGGAAGACCGCACAATGCCTCACCCTTGGCATCTTGTTTTAATCCGTTTGCGTATCAATATCAATATCTTCACACATCTGAAATCTTTCAGACCGATCAACCACACATCAATCTTGGGGAATGTAATGTCAAGGACTACTTGCGGGTAACACCAGGATCATGGGATGCATAGACGAATAAAAAACGAAAGTATGTGTATTCTCAGATATGCCCATTTGGAAGCGGGCCAACCTCATACATTTTTTATTTATGGAGAGATTTCCACTATTTTCCAAATATAAAAATGTATTTTGGAGCTAAGCAACATCCACTTTTCTCAAAAATCAAGGCCTACTAGATCACAATCAGAAGCCGAAAAATCCAGAATCCATATAAGTTTTTTTAGAAAGAATCTGCGTACGCCCCTGGAACCAAGTTTCATGAAAAAATGTCAACATTAACGATTCTACAGCGTGTTTCATGTCAGACGGCCCTCCCTTATTCATATCTATCAGTTATTAGTCATGCGATTTGCACCAAATTCGGACCATTCGAACATCAATTTGAACGGTGCCGTGCGTTTTTATTGAAAGTATGTTGGAGTGAATGATACTTGTAGAGCACTTATGAATATCACTTGTGGAGTACCGCAAGGATCAGTTTTGGGACCAATTTTATTTTAAATTTATAAATATTTTATTTATTTATTGAACAAATAACTTCCAGACAGAATAGGCTCTGGTCGAGGCTCTGGTATAAGGAAGTACTCAGCGAGCACAAACATCCCTGGGATGTTTTGGGATGTTTTGAAAATGTTGGCATGAAGATGTTATTTTGAGACGTAATATGCACTGACCAAAGAGGTCTTTGAAGGATATTGAAGTATAGTTTTTGTTCTTCTGTGGCGTTTCTTTGTTAGCCTACTTAGAGGTATCCCTGGGATGTTTTGGGATGTTTTAGAAATGTAGGCATGAGGATGTTTTTTTGAGGCGTAATATGCACTTTCCAAAGAGGTCTCAGAAGGATATTGAAAGTATTGTTTTTGTTCTTCTGTGCCCTTTCTTTGTTTGCCTCACCACAACGTCTCATGCTTACGACACAATACGATGAATTCTGATTAGTTTTCGATTTTGTTCTTCCTGTTCGCAATTGGCATTGGCGTTTGCAGCGTGTCACGCTTACATCACGCTGCTAACGAACAGAAAGAAATTTGGTGAAGTTTATTGTGTTAGAAGACTTATTTAGTTTGTAATAATGACCATCAGATGCAAGATGTGTTGTTCGGTGCCTCAGTGTAATCAATATATAAAAGTACGAATTCATCAATACACAGCTTCTCCGCAGTTGCAAAATTATGCATTGTGGAGAACATTTCAAAAATTGGGAAACCTATTTCCAATTATATGTCTGTGTGTAGTAAGCACTACTCAGAAACCGATTAAGAAGGTAATTTCATATCAAGAAAATATTTTTATTTTCAATCTATTTTTAATGCATTTTTTCATTCAAGGAAAATGGAATCCTAATACAAAAGTTCATTTTGACAAAAGGCTTCAGAAAAGTACTTCGAAAATGGTTTTTTTACATCGATTTAATGTGCGCAAGACGCGTTGAAAATGTTTTGTTGTGTCCATGAAAAGGCTTTGAAAAGAACTAGGGAGAAGGTAGTTTTGTGACATATCAAGGACATCTTGATAATTGCCGCCTGCGGCGGATATTTTCTGTTCTATAATAGTTCTATTCATGTGTGAACAGAACATCGCAGTGGAGGTTCAATGTCTCGAAATCTCGTACTTTTAACATCTCTGAGATGTTTTCGTGCTCGCTGGGAATCAACAAGGCCACAATAGTATATTATGTCACAAGGGCAGTAAAGCTTCAACAGCCAGCGACAACTAGCTGCACGAGCGAAGGTAGGACAGTATACTTGTACCAGTATTCCACCTGATGGAGGCACTGTGTTAGCGAAACATGGCGTGTGACTAAGAATTTTGTAGAAATCTCATCGTTTGTGAAGTTTTTACATTTGCTATGGATTTCCATCAAGAAGCGGCCGAGGCAATTCAATATCATGTGTTATTAGCCAGGAAAGAAGTTGTTTCATCATCGATATTTCAACAATGATCATCTTATTTGTCCTTCCACTCCATAGTATATGAGTTCTGTCAATAAGAACAATATTCTTGGACAATAAAGCACAGATTTATTGCTATATTTATGGATGTATTGATTGATTGATAACATGGGCAGCTCCAGGCACCGCGAACAGCCTGGTGAAATAAAGCAGCCAGGTCCTGATGGCCAACTCAATTACATTCCTCCCGATCTTACTACAAGAAGCTCTACTGACAAAATACTTCTTTTATTTTATAGAAACGAGGTTAGAGAAGTCCCGAATAATCTAGCAAAATGAATGTACCATTTCTTCTCGATTAACCTAGAGACAGTATTCAATTGTTTTCTGTTAGATTTTCAAACAATAGTTCCAAATACGGTACCTATTTTCGATGTTTGAAACACTTTTTCAATATTCTGTGGTATAAGCCCGGATAGGAGTTGTTTTCTATTGGATATTTCAAAAATAATCTTCTTATTTGTCCTTCCACTCCATAGTATGTGAGTTTTATAAATAAGAGCAATATATTCTTCCACTACACTGTTTTACCACTAACCAAACCGATTTTTTAACGCCTCGACACGTGTTTCGCTAACTATGTTAGCATCTTCAGGGGAAGATTAAAACACGAAACACGTGTCGAGGCGTTAAAAAATCGGTTTGGTTAGTGGTAAAACAGTGTAGTGTATTATCGTGCCAAAGGTTTCAGTCTTCAATATATTCTTGGTCAATAAAGCACAGATTGATTGATGTATTGATTGATTGACTGATTACCTGGGCAGCTCCAGACACCGCAAACAGCCTGGTGAAATACAGCGGCCAGGTCCTGGCCAACTCAATCACATTCCTCTTGATGTTAGCCCGATGAGATTGGTCGAAGTTCTCAGCTGTCACTCCATACCCAGACAGCATATTCACCCCAGCCCTCTTCTCGCTCTGGCTCAGCCTGAGACAGGACGTCAATCCATAAACATCCGCAGCTATCTGGCAGAAGATCAGGTGCATTGCGTTGATTGGTCCCAGGGGCTCCGCTGGGGAGAAGACTTCTTTGCGCACCCTGAGTAGCCAGGAGACGCGGTTGTAGGTGACGCAGGGGGTGGTACCAAGGGGGAGGAGTCTGGAGGGGGTTTGAGGGGAGGCGGGTTTGGAGGGGGAGTGTGGAAAAGGGAGCGGGGTGGGGGATTTCGGTGGGGGGGTGGAGATTGGGCGCATGAATTCCGGCCATTCTTGGACTGAAATGGAAATGGAACGGTCGAGTTAATAACAATGTTCAGCTGGAATGTTATTTATTCTTACGATAAAGCTATAGAAAGTGGAAAACTGAGACAAAGATAAAATCACTTTCTCTACAAACGTCAAACGAAGTACCGACTTCGCGAATTGTTATGTAAAATATATGAGATATATTTATATTTCAACTTTATGGTTCTCAATCGAGCAAACATCCACGAAATCATTTATTTCTGAATGTTCAACAATAACTTTGTTTCATCTCTTGGAGCACACGAAAAGGAATTCCAATTATGTTCTTGGGACATCGAGCGTATAGGAGGAGGCCCTCTGAGTCAGTTCAATACTACATTTTATATCAAGCTAAGCATATTTTTACTTTAGAACTATATTTTTTGACGTTTGTAGGAAAAATGTTGTTTGCAACTCGAGCGCGAAATACTTTGGTCATACCATCAGATCTCGATCATCAAAGTAGCGTTTCGCGCTCTATTACAAAAATAACTATATACTCGGTCGGTGTAGAAAATAGGATTATTTGTTCGAACATTCAATAAGAGAATTTGCTTCTATTTCAATTCCACATATGATGTGTCTCTCAATTTCAAATTTGTATCACAACTTTTGAATGTTAATATTTCCTCAATTTATACGAAGTTTCTATAATGAAAAAAAAATAATTCGACAAAATTGTTGCATACCGGTAGATTCATCATTTAACCAACTTAAAATTACTGATTATAACCACAAAAATATGATTTTCTTCTGAAAATAATGATAAAAAATAACCGCTTCAAATTTCTATTATGTTTGATGCAAAGTGGATGTATCGTCAAGCATCCAGGAGCAAAATTCATTTAATTGACAAAATTTGTTTAGTACTAAAAAGTCAATAATCGAAATACCCTCAAACTACTTCACATATATTACCATATCGAAGTTACAATTTTTTTTAAATATTACAGAAATTTTGTAGAATTTGAAAGAATATCAAAAACTAAAAGTTCCATTAAAACGTTCAAGTTTGAGACAAATGTGTAAAAGTTCAATAAATAACTCCTCTTTCTAAACGTTCATGAAATTCGAAAAAATATGCCTATTCTCAGCAATTGATTTGAAAAAATATAACTCCCAACAGTCACGTGACCCCAACCGAGTATAGGCCATTTTCCATTTTTTTTGAAGACAAACTCAACCTTTATATAGAGTTAGCTGTTGAGGCCAATACTGATTCGCAATTTCATGATGTTTTTCTTCAGGAAATTCTTATGTAGACTGAACAGTGAACAATGCTTAGGATATTTTCGTTCCGGAGGATTTCATGACGAGCAGACTCTTGTGAGAAAAAGGACAAGTACTTGTGAATGTGTACCCAAAACAAGCGGAGATTTAAGTTAAATTTCGAACTTTTTCGTGGAATATTTCAATAAACAGTGGTTTGTTCACATTTCCATCATGAAATTCGTGTTTTTCAGGCAGAAAAAAGTTTCGAAAAGGTAAGAATATCGCATGATAATTTTATTGCAAAAGGTTGAGTGGAAGCGCCGCTTCTTAACTTCACAGTTGTAGAAGTGCGAACTCTGCCTTTCACATAGATAGTTCCACACAGACACATACATATATATCATAAATATAGTTGTTATAATTATATTCATATATTATTATAACGATTATTGAGGTACAAACCAATTATTATTCGTTTATTATATTTATCATGTGTACCAGTCTGTTGCAATAAAATCATTTATTATTATTATTGATATTATTGAAACTACCCAAATCTAATCTGATACTCACCCTCATTTCTCTCAGTTCTATCTGTCATCTGTGTGGACGCCACTGAATGCTTCTTCTCCCGCTCTTGCGCGCTCTTATTGAACATGTGCGTCTTGAAAGTCGGCCTCTCTATCGGCTCGCGGTTCGTCTGCTCTTTGCGCACATTCATTTTGCCCTTCTCGAACCTCCTCTCCTGGATAATAATAATAATAATAAATACATTTTATTGCATGCAATACTACAATATATATATAGAAGTGATCACATCGCAGGATTACATGAAACAATCGTCAACAAAAGAATATGATGCTTGTACGTTTTACAAATTTTTCCGAGACTTTTTGATTTGGAAGTTCATGAACCCCGTCTCATCATATAGTTCGCGTGCACGATGACCGACCCTGGGGGTTGAATATTGAAACACAACCTCACTTTTTTGAAAACATTGACACACAACCTCACTTTTTTTATTTTTTACAGAGTAGTCAAAGGATTGAGATAGTTTTTCACAATATTTTGGAATACGAATCGTGTTTTTTGCGCAATTCATTAATTCAAGTATGCCTTCTCATTGTGCTGTTGTACAATGTACAAAAAATGCAGCGAGACGCGAAGGAATATCATTTTTCAGGTGAATAGTTATCTATACATAGTTTTCATCATTGGATTTCGTCATTTCTTATTAAAATTCCTTCTGCCACTCTTGCAATAGAAGCTTATACTGCTAATGGTTTGAAAATGTCTACAACACACACGATCATATTTTGTCAGCATGTCAGATCAGTCCTCTCGTTTGATTGTATGAATCCAATCTTCTTGCATTATTTCAAAAATTTCACAAGTATTCCTATTAGCTCCTATTGCAGAAAAAATTCCGATGAGAAATCAAAGAAATTACCAAATTAAAAAATGAGAACTATATGTGAGTGACTATAGTAGGTACTTACTTTTGAATCATAATGTACCAACCGGATTCCTTCGTCTCTCACTGCATTTTTTGTGCATTGTACAACAGCACAATATGATGGCATGCGCGAATTAATGAATAGCCGAAAAACACGATTCGTATGCCAAAATAATTGTGAAAAACTATCTCGAACACTTGTGAACAGATAAGAAGAGTGAGGTTGTGTTTTCATGTTCCACCTCCAGGGTCAATCATCTGACAGTTCTTGCACGCAACTCATTGTTCGATGCTAACCAACAACTTGAAAATTGTTTTCTCCAATTTTGATAATGATTTTATCGATTTGATGTCATTAGAGAGTTTGTTATAAAATTTATTACAAGAGTATAATGCACAGACGAAAACTGCTATCTTTCTATTCAGAAAGTTGAATAGTGCACCCTGCACTTACACCTAATCTTCTAACGAACGGAATGGTGAACACTATGTCAAAAGTGTAGACACTTTTCCATTTCTGAACTCAGCTGAAACAATCCACTAGCTATAAGAAGCCCTTTTGTGCATAATTTGTCTGTATTACCTCTCTGTCCCACATTTCCGTCACGTGTCTAGCGTCCATCGGAGCATCACTGGTTGTCTCTCCGAGGTCCCAGCTGTCCCTTCGCTGGTCGCGCTTGTCGAGGTCTTTGCCCCAGCCAGAGGGATCGTCGGTGGTGTCTTGCGTGAGGCTGCTCTGGTTCTCCCAGTTGGCGCTGAAGGAGTTCCTTTTGGTGTTCTGAGATGAAGAAGAACGGTATAGTATATTGAGGTATAAATGGTATTGAAGTATTTGAGACATTTTTTTTATGTTCTGGTCCCCACGAGAAGGAATATCCTGTAATGTTCAGAAAACATCGTGAGAACCAAGGGAAATAAGGTAGGAATTGGTTATTCCTTAAATTTCTGGAGGTTATATGCCTCGAGAAACACCTCTCTTAGAATTCATATCCTGTGGAAGTATTCCCAATAAAACAACATATAATCTCCAAAAGTTCAAGAAAAATTCCAATACCTACCTTCTGTCCCTATCCTCCCTAGGAACGCACGATGTTCTTTGAATATTATAGGGATTCCCTTTCGTGCGCGCCAAGCGATAAAAAAAAGATGTTCTGCAGGTCTCTGAAGTGACCACGAAGGGGTGTGGAGCTTGAACTCGACATGTTAATCTCGCGGGGACTGCCAAGGGAGGAACAATTGTTGATATTTCAGACGGGCATCGTCCATTAAAATATCTATGAAATAGAGCCAGATCGCCAACTTTTTCACGGTGTTCCAGAAAAGTGAGACGAATTACCCTTCTTTCCAACAGTTTCAGGGTATGTTCGGGTGCTGCACTCCAAATATGGGAACAGTATTCCAGGACAGGTCGGATCTGTGCCTTATAGATCATAAGCAGCTGACTGGAAGTGAAATAGCTCCTGGCCCGAAACAGAAAACCAAGTTTTTGGGATGCACTTTCAGCAATTGATCTCAAGTGATTTTACCAAGAAAGGTTATTGCTGATGGTCATACCAAGCATCGAAATGGATGTCTTCAAAGGTATGGATATTCCTGACAAGCTTATGTTGGGTACAGTGAGATCGGATTTTCTATAAGAAAGGCATGCTTGTGTTTTGTTTGCTCTGAAATCTACCAAGTTATTGGATCCCCATTCGAGAATTGTTGCCAAGTCCATATTTATGTTGTCAACATTTCTCCCTCGTTTGTTTCTGATTTGCCTGACTGGTATTGGTGCCCTGGAAGAAAAGGCGGTATGGGGGGGTACTATCATCTGCGAAGCTGTGTACTGCTGGACATGAAGTTGCTTCCAACAAATCTTTGATATTGAATAGAAATAGTGTTGGTGCTAGTATTGATCCTTGCGGAACACCAGCATTTATTATAAGAGAGTCAGATAAAACTCCGTCTCCGTCTCCTGAATGAGGTCAGTTTGAGTAATAAAAACACGAAGAGGTTGTCATTATTATTGGGCGATAGGTAAAGGCAGCATATGAAAATGGTCAGTTTGGTATCGTCTATCTTGAACCACATCACAACAAAGTCTTTCGGTTCCAAACTCACTACACGCTAGTATGAAAGGTTAGCCTTAGCGTAGAGGCAGACTCCACCTTTGAACCTAAATGGAGGATGGAGTTCGTAACCAGGACAGAGCATGTAGACCTTAACTTGAGTTTCTGTTAGTGCCAAAATATAATAATAATAATAATAATAATAAATGATTTTATTGCAACAGATAGATAGGTACACATGGTAAATATATCTAAACGAATAATGAGTTGGTTTGTATCTCAATAATCGTAATAATATCATATGAACATGATTATAACAACTATATTTATGATATATGTATGTGTCTGTGTAAACCTATCTATGCAAAAGGCAGAGTTCGCACTTCTACAACTGTGAAGTTAAGAAGCGGCGCTCTTCCATATCTGTTTTTTTTTCGTACATACGCGAATAGAGCAAGAAGTGTTTTTAGGACCAGTTATTCATGAGTACTCTAGTCTCTTTTTCTTATTGGTACAATTCAAGATCTTTATAGTATGAGAGTCGGCTGCAAATTTCTACTGTCTACTGACGATAACGAAATGTTATATGTTTCAAAGGCATGCAGAAAAATTGTATTTTATCGAACGGCAGCTGTGCCTATCACTATCCTGGGCAAAATAATTGAAAATGGCACTTTCCTGTTTGGTAATTCGCATTCAATGAGGGCAAACAGTATTTATTGTCCACCTGATCGAGCCACTAAATCTCCTTTTCCTGTCAGCTGGCCTCTTCCTACGATATCTTCTTCGTCAATGTGAGAATTGGTCGTGAAGTATAAAATTGAGAGTAGAGAAACGTAAGTTTGCTCAAGTCTTTGCATTACTTGAGTTTTTCTATTTTTTTCAAATGTTGTACATAATGTTTTCCGAATATTTTCAATAAAACAGGCCACAGCCTTTAGGGCTATTCGGCAAAATTTGGGATTTTTCACTTCGATTTCGAAAATTTCCCATAAATTCAATAACCTTATTTTTTGGCAGAAATGTAGAATTTCAAGGTCTTCATTGATATCGAAATTGTGGTGAGCATTTGAGATATGGTTAGCAAAGCAGAGGCACTTCCTTTGCCATACTCATCTAAGAGAGGGATTGAATTCTTAGACTTATCAATGATTTTTACATGTTCTGAAACTCTAGTGAAACTCTTCCTACTACTGTGTTTGACATATTGACCATTACAGTTTGGATGTGAACAGGAGTACAATAAACTCCAGATTTATTCAGTGGGATTTTATCTATAGTGTTAAAATTTTTTTTTTAGTATTATCAACTGTGTAAACGGATATGTTGATGAAAAATGTTTTAGATATCGTTGGAGACCTTACCAAGGAAATAAGGGATGGAAGAAAATTGTGTTCTAGAATTTGGCAGAGGTAGTGAACTCTCATTAATGAATCCAAAAAAGGAATATTGAAGCAAGATATGGCTTAAGCGTTCTTCCAATATCAGCTTGATAACGTAACTCTGAAGAAAAGGTTCTTATGCGAATACAGTTTGAACATTATAATGTTCAGAAGGACATAACCTGTAATTAAAAAAAAAGTCCAAATCGGTTAAGTAGTTTTGCCGAACTGCCTGAACTTCTGACTACTTTTTGGTGGTGCGCTTATTTCTTGAAGGAAGTGTATTTTGAACATGTCAAAGTCTTCTGCCACTTAGAGGGTCGAATACTCACCCTATTCTGGTGCACTCCGAACGTATCTCTGTCTTGCCGCTGCGCCATAAAAGAGCTCTCCCTCTCCTGTCTCATAACCCTGAATGAATCCTCCCGCTCCTTCCTCTGCGCCGCGAAAGACGACTCCCTGAGCGGTTCCCTGAGCGGCTCCCTGAGCGGTTCCACGGGTGGAGGGGGCTGGTGGGGCCGCACCACTGGCGGTGGAGGAGCGGGGCCCGGGGGCACCGGGGGCAGTGCTGTGGGGCCGGTGGGGCCGATCGGTGGGGGTGGGGGACCCGGTTTCCACTGGCTGCTGGACCAGCTCTGGGCGGTCGGGGATTTGTTGCCGTTGTGGGGGGTCTGGAACAGCGAGAAGTACGGATTGATTGTTTTGATGTTGGAAGGATTAGATTGTCATAGTCATAGAATCAATTGATTATAAGTTAACTTCACTTTCATTGTGATACTATTGTATCTGCAAATTCGTGATCCCGACGTTAACGATAATGAAGTTGTTGTTGTTGTTGTTATTTATTACCCCAAGAAACATATTTGTTTATGATAGGGATATATAAATATATGATATATAGATAACATAAAAAAAAAACTTTTTTCTGCGACAGGAAAAAATTTTGGCATTTCATCTCTGTTGCCAGGTTATAAAATGTCACTTTTCATAAATCACTTTTTTCCGTGGGGAAAAAGTGAGTACTTTTTTCCTGGATATATATCACATATATATACACTGTTGATGGCTTTTGTTGTGTTATGGTTCCGAAAAATGAGTCAATAATACCGTCTCCGAGAAAGAACTGCAAGTCCATTTATCCTCCATTCGACTTCGCTATTACGTATATTACTAAACAACCACTGAATTCGCAATTTTTTTAAATCAAATCACAGAATTAGACTGACAAAAGTGACATCAGATATTCGATTACTTCAGAAGAATGATGAATATGCCTACAACGTAGGTGTCCCTACTGTTGAAATTTCACGTCGATAATTTTCAGATTTCAAAATGATGTAATATCTTCTCAATATTGATTCGTCCTCCCTTCTGTCACAGAAAAAAAGGGTATTGTAAACGGGAAAAATATTAGAATTAAGCTCACAGTTTTTTGTCTGTGTGACAACACAACCTGGAGCTAAAATCTACTACTTTTTTCCCTCGTGTAATAAATAACTATATCAACAAGTTATATCAATATAACATAATAATTAAAATTAAATCATTCCAAGTATTCAAATTAAAATAAATTGCTCCGTTTATAGTGTCATGAGTATATATTTTTTCATATTGACTTTGAATCTTGTTTCATCATCAATATATAATTCAAATCAGAAGGTAATGAATTATATGGAATGATTCCGTTGTAGAATACTGATTGTTTGCCAATAATGGAGTTATATGGGTTTGCTATTAATGACTTCAACTGGCTCATTTCATGAGTATAAATTGTATTTACTTCACCAAAGTTCAAGTTGGATATTTGATATAAAGATGATAAATCCAACAGATTTTTTGGTTTGTAAAGATTAATAGTTTGTTCCAGGTAATGTGAATTGTAAATGCACTTGATTGTTTTATTTTGTGATTTCATCAATGCTCTCAAATGTAATATACTTGTGCTTTCCCAAATGTATATTGAATAGTGTAATTTTGAGTGAATCGGACAGAAATATATGTATATTCTTCAAATATCTAAGAGGAATGAAATTTCGAATTTTGTATAAAATCCCAGTAATTGGATTTAGCTTTTTTCTCAGATGATCTATATGTTTAGCCCACGATGATTGTACATCAATATAAAGACCTAAGAAGTTTTTAACATCTAAATATTTTATGGCTTTCTGTTCGAAAAATATTGTTGTAGCCAAGATTCTCAAGTCAATTTTTATATCATCAACTATATCATTGAATTGTTTAGAGTAATACATCATTGTAGTAACATGTGAAAATAACTTCAGATCTCCTTCAAGTTTCAAAGATGATATTGAAAAGATGTAAATCGAGAATAAAATCAGACCTAAAACGGAACCTTGTGGTACACCACATTTGATCTATGAGGCTACAAATATTATTGACTTCAACATACTGCTTTCTATTTTATTAGGAACTGCTTTCTATTTTATTAGGAGATCTTATTTGATACAGAAGTAGTTGAAGTTCTAGAATATTCCAACGAATCCATCGGCAAAAACATTGATGGACATTCGCAGCGGAACATAATGGAAGAATTGGTGAAAAACGAATATTCGAATAATTTCCATAAATATGATTTCACAAATATTCTGGAGAATTTGATCAGCCAATCCGAAATAGATGAGTCCTTGAATGAGCCGGAGTAATGATGGTTCGATGCAGTTAAGATGATTTTTCACAGCCATGGAATTATATCCGACAAAATCAAGTTTGGAAAAGTCATATCTGTTTCGGACTGCTCGTTAGCAAAAGGAAAGGCTAATATTTTCAAAATGGACCATAACGATCAGACCTTGAAAATGCAATTGATTCAGACATATCAAGTTTCTGATGAAGAAAAAATGCTAAAACTGTTCAGAGAATGTGAACTTGGTTACAAAAAAGCGAGTCAGCTATACAGGGAAATGACGACTAGTCTTGCATCTGGTCAAATGTCGCGAAATCTCATATCTAATCCTTCCAACATTATAAAATGCTACATACAAGGTGTAACATCACACCACAGACTGGTTGATTGATGTATACTTTGAGAGAAAAGAGTAATTCCAAAACTTTGTTTTCGGTCCCTCATCGCGCTTCTGTCGCAATTCTGATTTTCATCCATCGATACAATGCATTACCATGCGGAAAAAATCAATCCATACTCACATGAGGCAGAGTTTCCGGACTAGTTTTCCCGCTGTTGTTCACCGAATCGTCCCCCCAAATGCCAGCCAGCTGCTGCTCCAGCATCATCTTCCTCGTATCCTCTAGCTTATTCACTGCCCTTGCGGGCTTCTCCATCTTACTACTAGTCGACCTCACCGAATGATTAGCCGTGACCAGCTCCAACCTAAAACGGCGTGATAGAGCCACAATTCTTGCATTATACAGGGTATGTATCATAAGTACGTTGAAATATTCGAGTGACGTATTCCTGAGACAATGGGGAAGACCACTGATTTTTTAAAACGACATTATCGTGAACTCTATACTGAAAAACTACCACTGAATTGATTTTGAATTTTTTCATTCATGCTAAGACGATGAAAAAAATAAATTGGTATATGTCCATTTCAAAACACACAATTCCTGCGCCATTTGAAATTTCATCAATTCATTGGTGTGACTGGTGCGACGTCTTAGTCCCAACACGCCTATTGTCCTTGAACTGACCAATTACACTGAAACACTGCAGAATGACGAGGTATCAGTGAGAGATAGCTACAGTTCGGGACTAATACGTCACGACTCCACCAACATATTTGGCTGTTTGAAATATCGAATGAAATATGCTGATTTCAAAACGATATAGATTCGATTCCCTTCAACTTCAACTCATAATATTGATTGTACATAAAATGTAAATCATGATTCGTCGATTGAAAGAGGTTTGCACGGATTTCTTCCCTCAGTGGTCTTCCCCATTGAAGGGGCAAGTGGAAGAAGAAAGTTCAAGTAACATTTTCTGAAAATATTCGGTTATGTCATGGAAAAAATGTAACGTGCATATTATGAAACTTGCCTTGTCAAGATTCGTTTCTATTCTTTATCTACAACTATGAAGTCATTCATACATTGCTTACTCGATTTTCGACATTTAATGGCAGTCATTATTGTGATGAATCGAGTAATAAGAGTGATAATGACAGTAGGGTGGCGTAATAATTTGACATCCCATCGTCTTGTCAAATTCAACTAGGTAGGTATTCGTTCTATTAGTTCGCAAATCCACCGTACCATTGTTCTCGTAGTTTTAAACATCTTAATTCTACAAATACACGGAAAAATAAGAATTCACCGTTTTCCATCCTCAACAGTGACTATCATCATGAGTAACCATAACCATAAAATAGGACTTGACACTTGCAGATTTGCTCACACCTTAGATCCTGTATGATCTAAGGCACACACTAACACTAACATATGGCTACAGGCTATTGGAATAGATTAGTAAAGACCAATCAGAACCATGGAATTTCATTGTTGATAACTAGCTTCTAGAGACAGGGTACTACAATCAATCATCGCGGTGGGGGAACGCTACAGCGGAAGCAAAAAATGAATAATCTGCAATAGTATATGATTCATTTTACAACTGGAAAGTGAAATATCATATAATACCTGGTAAGATTGACTGATATGTGATTGCACGACTTTTTTTCCTGCTAATAAAAGTTATATCCAACATTGTTTATCAAATTTTCACAATAAAAATTTTTGAAATGAGTTATAAGCTGTTCGTTGAATGGAATCTTTGTCAATAAATTTTCGATGAAATTAATGAGTATTTAAAATCAGATTTAGTGATTTTGCAATATAATAACCTTCATTTTTCTCAAAGATATATTTCTGAACTCTCAGAGTTGCTTTGATATTTGAATAGTTGTAGATAAAGTATAGTATTCTACTTGCGCATAATGACTATTACCCACTCAGATGATTACAGCACTCGCCTTCGGCTCGTACTGCAACTTTCGTCTTCGTGGGTAATAGCCATCATTATGCGCTCGTTGAATAATATACTATTATATCTGATGAGTATAGAAACACAGTGACAGAAGGGGCTATGTTACACTAAACATTGAGAACGCAATGGAATATCTACATTTCAGGAAATGGAAGAAGGGGTTATGTACAGGGTGATTCACCATAAATGTCCCCCCCTCTAGGTCACTTATTTTTGAACCGATTCAAAAATTCGAAAAATCATCTAAAAAGATTTTTCAGAATTTTTTTTCCCGTATAATCAGAAAAAATAGGGTGCTCGGAACAAATGATCTACAGAGTACTACTTGATTCTTTCATATGGAACACCCTGTATTTCATTTTATTTTCAGATTCTTCTTGAAGAGCTGATTTCATCAATGTACCACACTTGGGGTCTAGCGGGAATGATTACACAGATATAGGGTGTTCAAAGTCGAGATTTTTCAAGTTTAGGATTTTTTTGTCTCGAAACTATTCATTATTGGTCGAAACGGCATCTGTGTTTCCATCTTAACTTTTGATTTACTGTCTACTGACATTTAATTGGAACATTTACAGGGTGGTTCAAGATTCAGAATTCTGATCACCCTGTATCTGTTCCAATTATCAAATGTCAGTAGATAGTGAATCAAAAGTTAAGATATGGACATGGAAGCCGATTTGACCGATGATGAATAGTTTCGTCTCAAAAAAATCCTAAAGTTGAAAAATCTCGATTTTGAACACCCTATATCTCTGTTATCATTCCCGCTAGACCCCAAGTATGATACATCGACCGAAACTGATCTCCAGGAAGAATCTAAAAATACAATGAAAAATAGGGTGTTCCATATAAAAAAATCAAATAGTACCCTGTAGACCGTTTGTTCCGAGCACCCTGTATTTTCTGATGTAGCGGAAAAAAATTTGATCGAAAATCATTCGAGATGATTTTTCAAATTTTGAAATCGGTTTAAAAATAACTGAGCTAGAGGGGGGGGACATTTATGGTGAATCACCCTGTACGCATGAATCCATATGTATATCAAAAAATGTTATGATAGCAAAATGCGGTAAAAGATGAAAAACAACCTGAAACTATTCCTCACAATTGCACAAGTCCAATTATTGAACTAGCTTTCATTAAAAAATGCCAGCTAACTTAACTAAAACTTTTTCTCACAAACTCATATTTGTAACATAACTTCTTTTTCCACTTGATCCTTCAATTTCAAGAAGAAAAGTCGGAGATACAGGGTGTTGAGATACAGAAAACAAATCATTGTTCGATAAATATATTTCATAGGAAAAAAGGAGTATATTTAGAAGAGACCTAATACACACTTGGGTTCGTAATATTCCCATCAACTTCATTCAGCATCGATATAGAAAATTGTGAATATCTCGAAAATGATCACCTCTTGCGTTGCTGAGGAAGTGTACCTTTTTTACTTGAAAAATATTTGGGAATAAAGTTTTTCCATCAAAAGTACCAAAAGTTTACTGTCAAAAATGTTCCCTCCCACCGAGGCATGGGTTCGAATCCCAGTCAGGCCATGGATGTTTGTGAATGTATGCTTTCCTAACCCCGCACAAGTTTCGACTTATGGGGCGTTGGATCCAGAGTGCTGGGTCCAACGAGGAAATGCAAGTGAAAAAGGAAAAAAAAAATGGCAGCGTACGCAGTGCCCTCAATATATTAAAGTGAGACGAAATTATTATTAAACACGCCAAAAAAAAGACGGGTACAAAATTTCGTGCAAATAACCTATTTTTTGCGAAACTCATTTTTAAAATTCGAAAGAAGAAACTCAATTTCAACACCCTGTATCTCCGAAACGAAGCATATTTCTGGACACAAGTATATGAAAACTTTCTTCACAAAATTGTCTCAGGAATACGTCACTTGAATATTGAAACGTATTTATGTTACACCCGTATATCATCTGATTTTTTCTAATTATGATATTGAATCTCAACATTTTGAGATTTCTCCTCAAAATTCTGGAATTGGAATTTTCTGAAAAATTTGGGAACTTTTTCTGAACATTTAGATATTTTGACATTCAATCCCAAAATTTGGATATAGTGAGATTCAATATAACAATTTGGATATTTTGAGCTTACTTCTCGGATTTTTTCCTCAGAATTCTGAGATTTTTTATCGGAATTCTAGAATTTTTTTCAGAATTTCGAGTTTGAAATATAGTTTTTTTCAGATTTTTTATCAAAATTTGAAGATTCTGTGATTTATTCCCAAAATTTGATATTGTCACTTCTTTTATAGGACAAATAAAATTCACCCACGCTGCTCTGTTCGAATATAAGAAATTACCACATATTACAAAAAGAGATAGATGTTGTTCTTTTCTTCTCCCAACTTTCGATTCCTATTCAAATTGATCTTTGTTCACCAATATGTACTGATTTGCAAAAATCTCATATTCAAATTATTCGAATATAATATTATTCATGAATTTGTTATAATGTTATAGTTCGGTATCATTGTCAACTATACTTCCTCATACCAGAATTTGTTTCTGCCTGGAAGTCACATTTTCCATGAATATAAATAAATAAAAATAAATTCCATAGAAGCTTTTCCCCAGAATTCTTAGATGTCTTCTTTAAATTTCGGGATATTTTATCAGAATATTTGTTATTTATTTGAGATCTTACTCAAGTATCTGGGATTGTTCTGAGATTATTTCACAAAATTTGGAAAGATTTTCTCAGGTTTCGAGATTTTTTCTTGCGATTTCCAGATTTCATCTCGGAATTCTGGGATTCCTCATCAAAATCCTTTAAATTGAAGGAAATTTATCCAAATTTTGAGAAAAAAATCTAAAATTTTTGTGGAAAAATCTCAACATTTTTCAAAAAAATCTCAAATTTCTGAGATTTTTATGAAATAATATAAAATAATTATGACGCAGATACGCCGTCGTACTAACCTCTGCCTCATCTCCGAGCTAAGCTTCAGCTTCCCCACACTACCAGGTGACGGCCTGGCCGCGCCAATCTCGAAAGTCCTCTTCGAACTAGACTTACTCAGCCTCTCATTACCCCTCACCATCGGCTCGAAGTCCATCTCTTCCCACTCCCCTGATGACTGCTCCATCTTACCGTTAGCGGACTGCTCTTTGCCAGGAGTGACCTTCCTCTGATGCTGCCGCATCTTGAAGTGCATAAAGTTCTCTCCGTTCTCTTGATTGGTGCCATCTTTCGGGGGAGGCCATCTCCACTTGCCGATTCTGACTGTCTTGGCACGGCCGTAAGGGTCCATGAAGGGCCTAGTTTCGCTGGGATCAGTGTCTTCTAGCGGCGGAGGCATCGGTGGTGGCGGAGGCGGAGGTATACCGCTCCTGCTGATCACACTCATGTTGGATTCCGAGCTGGCTTTGCGAGATTTGAACTCCGAAGAGCTCGGCGAGCTAATCTTCCTAGCATTCCCATTCGTCGCCTTGAAACTAGCCTTCCTGTTCGGGCTAGTTTGATGTATTTGGGCCTTGACCGTATTCTGGACGGTTTCAGTGACTTTGACTTCACTAGTACCAGAGGTGGATTGCTGCGTGAGCAGCTGTTGCAGAGCTTGGTTCTGCGCCAGCAGTTGTTGTTGGATCTGGATATTCTGAGCCATGGCAGACTGCAGGAAAGCTCGTTGCAGGTTCTGTTGGTAGGCAGCGATTTCGGTCCCGTTTTGACCCACAGAGACTCCAGGCATGTTGAAAACTGGCATAAACCCTTCTTGTGTTGGGCTCAGTAAGGGCATCATCAAAGGGGCGGAATTCACTATAGGGGTTGAGATTTGGGGGAAGCTATAGCTTGAGGTTCCGGTACCATTCTGAGTGGTGCCACCTCCCTTGATGCTATCAACTAAGTTGTCTTTCTCCGTGAGGGTCTTCAAGCTGTCGTTGATGAAGATTGGCCTGAATAGATCGCTTATGTAATCATCAACGTTACCATTCTGTTGCGTCGGAGCTCTAACTGGTTTGTTAGTCAACTTTTCTACTTCTTCATCTAGAACAGCACTGCCTTGGCTATTGGTTCTCGTTCTATGACCACCTCCTTTAATCCTCAACACCACTTCACTGGCATTAGACATATCTATCGCCTCCACTTGCACGTTCCCTAGAACTCCGTCGAGAAAATTTTCAAAACCTTGATTTTCCCCAATTTCATCACCACCTCCTTTGATACTAGCAGCCAAGGATCGTGCATCGCTCAGTTCGTCCAAATTTCCGTCGAGCACAGGACTGAACAGTTCATCCAAGAACTGATCGACATCAGAAGCTTGACTAGGCACCCTCACCCTCCTCACGTGACTTGCCAAACTCGGCGCTTCGCTAGTATCTGACATCGCTGAGCTCCTAGGTCCAGGAAACTCGGACTTCTCGATGTAAGCTTTGCTAGAGTGCGATCCGGGCGGAGCCTTTTTACCGGCATAGGCTGACTTGATGTATCTGGGACCACCTCGATGAGAGGTGCTGACGCTCGAAACATCAGGATACTCGAATTCCATTTCCTGCTTCGGCATGTAGTTCTGGTTTGCTATGACCGGTTTTATCGGAGCCAGTTGCTCTACAGAGTGGTACCTCTCGTTCAACCTGGAGGACTGACTGAGCCCAAGGTCAGCTAGCGGAGTAGGCTCTGGTTCGCTCAACAGGTTATCCAGACTCCTGGAACGGACCTTCTCGACATCGAAGTATCGCTCGTTTAAAGCCGAACTGCGAGATAGAGCGTCATGCGAGGTCTTTCTGGTATTCGGAGAGCTAGAGGCGATCGGCGACTCTCTAGGTGAATGCGAATACTCCCTTGTGTCTCTGGAAGACTTCCTGGAGCTGTGGCGAGATGGTACCAGCTGCGTTGGGGGAGACTGCCTGCTATCTTCTTTCTCTCTCAGGATCTCTCTGGATGCCTTACGGCTGGCGCTTATTGGTGGCTCGGGTGGAGGTACTTGCGGTCTAGTCGGCGATGGTTGCGAAGCCACAGAATGATGGTCTATTTCTATCGGGGACTGACGTTTGGTGCCGGCTTTGAGTCTAGCTGATTTGGACGCTGGGAAACCTGGGCACAGCTCTAGCTCGGACACTAGGTCCATTATGTAGTCCAGACCGCTGCCTTCTGATATCACTCCGTTGTCGTCTAAAACTACGGTCCATCCGTCTGACGTCACACCAACAGCAGAGACTGCGAGAGATGCTGCCTGAAATATGGAATTGGAATCAGAATTTAGTTCATCCAGACATGCGCTGACTTACCTCTTCACACGTAGTCCAGGAATCAGCATTGACTGTCGAGATAGTTTTGTCAGCTAAGGTCATGGTAAGCGCTGTATTGCACCTTTGCCTGATGCTTCTCCATTCTAGCAAACTCGGAGGGAGCCTTCTTGGATGAGGTGCACGTTGCACGCTCCTAGTCAGCTTTCTCTGCAGCGTCTCTTTCAGCTGGGCAGGTGCATAGTCGGTTATAAACTTGAGTAGATACCTGGAAAGTAATTTGAGTATATTCTAAGTTTTTTCATCAGTCAGGCTATTCTTACTTGTATAGGGGTGGACTAGGTTGGAAGCAGCTCAAAGCGTGCGCCATCAGCTGCCAGACTCGATCGGCATTATCATTCTTCCAAGTCTGGTTGCAAAGCTGCACCAGGAACTCGTCCCTCAGGCCCTTCGAGACTAAGCACTTATGGACCACGTAGTCTGCCAGAGCCCTCTCTCTAGATCCAGTGAGCTGAGCGTCATTGGACCAACGTAAGATGAGTTTGAAGATAGCTATAGCATCCTGGAAATCTTCATCTCGTGCCGCAGCTTTGGACAAAAACGGAGCCGTTATGGGCTCTCGTCTCACGTGTAGATCAGCTCCTTTGAAGTAAACCGAGGAAAACTTGGAGAACTCGAACTGGTTCAGATCGGAGGGGATGTTGACTGGATGCGGGGACCCTATAACCCCTCCCAGGACTTTCATTAAGTTCTTCTCGGTGTGTGAGGAAGCGTGGGTATCCAGTTTGGAGAAGATGAAGGCTAGCTCTGCAGGAATCTCCAAATGGTTGATGCTGGACTTGGAGGTTATCTTGGCTGCAGATTTCTGAGCTTGAGCTTGCAGCTGGGCTTCCCTGGCAGCTCTCTGCTTGGCCCTTTCCTTCGCGACCTTTTCAGCCTCTACTTTCCTCCTGAACTCGGCTTTTCTGTTGGCGAATCTTTTTCTTTCGAGCCGGCCTCTGTACAGAGCCTGAGCTTTGACTATTCCTATTCTGATTTTGTCGTACTTTTGGCGCTGTTTGTAGCCCTTCCAGTACTTTTGCACGGTGACGATGCTTCTTCTCGTGCGTTTGTAATTTTTCCTGGCTAAGTAGCCGCGCACGTGTTTCTGTATGGAGACTGCGGCCCCTTTGAGTGATTCTCCACGTTTGATTTCTAACTGACGTTCGAGACTCTCGCGTAGAAATACTCGAGCAGCACCCAACTGGAAATCTGGCCCCTCTGAAACGAAAAGAATTGTGTAATCCCAATGAATAACCTAATATGTGAAAGTATATCGACATTTCTAAGCTATCGCCGATTTGGTATTTGTACCTGTTCCTGAAGAAGGCATTTGCTCCAAGATGGCTCTGCATAAATCTCTGTATGGGGCTCCCCTTGGAATCCGCGTAAGTAGGTATCTGTTAAAATACATGTGTTTTATTCATTCAACGTGATAAATATAAGTTATTGCGTGATTTCACTAGATTCATAACGTGAATTAGTTATGAAATTTTATTAACATAAATATAACACTTGAGTGGCGTTAAAAGCGAGAAACAATGTTGGATGGAACAATTAAAATAATTTAGGAATACTGTTTACCATATTTGAGCATATTAACATGGAATCGTTGTCAATGAATGTTGTGAAGAACCAACGAAAAAAAACATGTCTTCTCGCGGTTATTCAACCATGGTATTATTTACTGACGATTACACACGAAGAGGCAAAAATGATACATTTCAAGGTCTTCTACAGACGAAAAATACAATTCTGATAAAAAGACAATATCAATTCATCGGTGTTTATATTCGTTTTTGTTTCATCGATTGATTTCTCAACAAGTTCTGGTACCATATGGTAACTAAAAATACTTGTAACAGACAAGTTTTGCAAAAAGCGAACCCTATTTACAAGGTGGTTGATAAAACAAGACACCATTCAATAGATGGGTTCAACACTAGGTGTGTGAAAGTTGGAATACATCGATATAAAAAGTGAGAAAGAGAGAGAGTGATACAGATGAGTGACATTCAATTGAAACAAATACAGGGTGATTTATGATTCAAAATTCTGCTCAACTCGTATCTGCTCCAATCAAATATCAATTGATGATAAATGAAAAGTCAAGATAAGGACATTAGAGCCGTTTAAAATAAAAATATATAGTTCAAACCCTGAAAATTCCTAACAACATTGAAAAACCTCGATTTTTCACACCCTATATCCCTGTAATTCTTCCCACTAGACCCCGAAAGTGTGATACACTGATGGAATCAGCTCTTCAGGAAGAATCTGAAAACGTAATGATATACAAAGTTGTTGCTACTTTTGGATAGATGCGGCAACACCGCAGCGCTGAAAATGTTTATAGATTGATCGAGCAGAACTGATCCTCTAAGGCATAAACATTCTTCAGAAACGTGTAATAGGTATCGAGTTTGAGACACTCTGTATATACAAGTGGAGTTGGAAGAAAGGTGAATTATCATTTGTATGCATACTAATAATGATAATAGGTGTACCTATTGAAAAACCTCACTTTAATGACGTGGCAATGACGTATCTATGAAATTTATAATCAAGTCGGTGTGACGTAACGATTTGGTGGGCTTCGTCATTCAGAAAATTTCTCAAAAAGTTGATATTGAGATTTTTGTTTGGTGACAAAGATTGCATGATTATACGTAACTCAACAAAGTGAAGCTGAATTCGCCAAGATCTTTTACATTGCTGTCAAACTATTCTTGCTTTGCTTACATCTCGCCGACACAAACCACATAATTTTTGATACGAATACGAGTAACTGATCTCATTCTAATGGGGATGTGTACTAAAGGATAATGCTGCTGAATAGACGATTGAATGAACATGACACCAAAAGGACCACCAAACAGTCTCTACATTTTTGTATGTTCATAATTTATCTGAGAATATTCCTTTTCAACAGTCTCTACAATGCATAATCGATATCAGAAGTCATCATCAGAGGTCAGTGGTGTTTATTACACTATACATTATTTTGATGTCATTTTGACGTCACCGTTAGGAGAGTGGCTGACGTCAATAAAAGTGAGTAATATGGCGTCATCGGGCTGTGACTTGTCCACCTCATTTATCACATCATACGACGTCAACTCCTGACATCACCTTGGTCATTCAACTGACGTAAAAAAAGTCACTGAAACATCATCTGGTTGCCTGGGACACAGAGTTGAAGACAAAAAAAGACATAGTTAGATAAGACACAGAGAGTTGAACACAAAGAGAGTTGAAGAACTAAAAACACGAAGATACCAAAAGAGCTGAAAACACAAAGAGGTAAAGAAACACAGTAATTTAGAGACATTAAAACAGATAAAGACATACAGGGTTGAAAACGCAAAGGGACAGAGAGCTAGATGAAGACATCTAAGAAAGCTGAAGAGAGGAAAAGAGAAGGAGAAAGAAACAGAATGAGAGAGATGAAGACACAGATAACTAAAGACATGGAACCGGAGACACAGGAAGTTGACAGAGTGCTGATGGCACAGAGAGTTAGAGTCTCAAGAAGCTTGAGACAGAAACCTAGAAATAGAGAGAGAGATGAAGCACTTATAGAATTGAATGCATAGAGAAAAGTGTTAAGAAAAGCGTGAAAGAGAAAAGAGACAGCCGAATCGGTCAGTAATAGGATGTCGAAGTGTACTCACCGATATCTGTCGACGAATTGATGAAACTTCATCCTAGATGAAGACATCTAAAGAAAGCTGTAGAGAGGAAAGCAGATGAAGAGAGGAAGAGAAGGAGGGAGATGAAGACACAGATGACTGAAGACACTGGCAACAGAAAAAACATGTAACCGGAGACACAGGAAGTTGACAGAGTGCTGATGGCACAGAGATTTAGAGTCTCAAAAAGCTGGAGACAGAGACCTATGAATACAGAGAGAGATAGAACACTTATAGAGTTAAATACACAGAGAAAAGGGCGAGATCAATGGGGCGAGGAAAAGAGTGAAAGGGAGAAGAGAGAGACGAATCGATCAGTATTAGGATATCGAAGCGTACTCACCGATATCTGTCGACGAACTGATGGAACTTCATCCTGATCGGATACCCCGCCTGCCTGATCCTGATCGTGTCCAGCATGCCAGTGTACCTGAGCTGCTCCAGCACGACGGGCATGTCAAAGCGCATGGGCGCCTTATCCTCGTTGGGCTTGATGCATCTCACGAACCAGGGGTGGCACCGCGACATAGAGTCCAGCAAGTGTTGGAGGCTGTCGCTGAATCTGGCCGCGACTGTTTTGAGACAATACGTAGATGATCAGTATGTTGCTTTTTTTGTATATCGCTACATCGAAGTTGGAAATCAACTACCAAGAAGTCGGAACTTGAGCGGGGTGGAGAAGAGCGGGACCTACAGTTTATGGAGGATTGCGAACTTCTTCTAGTCCCTATTAACTATTTCTTCGCGAGTAGATGGACTGGATAACTGGAGAACTGGATAACTGGATAACTGGATAACTAGTTGACTGCTGGGTGATAATCTTATCGAAACCGAAGTATAAATGGACTCAGAAGTTGGCAGAATTCAACAGTTTACGTCAGTAATCACATGAAACGTCTACCAGACTGAATCTGATGTTCTCAATGTTCATAAGTAAGGAAAATGAGAACAGAACGTTTTCACGTGTTCACATTACATTAAAATGTATAGGTATATCAAAAACGTAGAATCTTTTCAATATTTGTTCTTTCCTATACATTTTTGAACGACAGAGTATTTCTGTAAGATCGTTCGAAATTCACTTCTGATTTTGTATCGAAGCGTGTGCAAATATTTGACTGAATGTTAAGGCTGTAAATAAGTACTAAGACGGTCTAATAGTAAATAAATTGGGTCGGTCATGGGTGGTCATTATCACATTAGATTTGGACAATTATCTGGGATTTCATAACGAGCGTTTAACAACCACCATATCATTGTCATATCATGTTTACCTGAAGCAAAATTGCTTCCCATGCCTATAATACAGGGTATTCTGAAATATAATACAAGCCTCCCAAAACATTCTCGTTACTTGGTTTTTTGACCTGGATTCTGATTGGAGACGTAAGTGATCGCTTCTTATGATTCAGCATTATTTTTTCCGCAATACAAGAATGTAATGCGAGATTTCAGAGTAGAATATTCAGGTTCCATTTATTTTTCAAAATAAGGGGAATAATAATTTTTGTGAAGATAATATATGACCTCCAACTGTTCCTTCACTGAGATTCACTCTGAATGAGTAGATATGATATATTCTGAAATTCTGAATATACAAGGTGTTTTTTGTCATTGATATGATAGATACATTCTATCGAATATTCCATGATATCAGATTTTTTCCAAATTCTTCTAATTAACAAGAGAGTTCATCTCGAAAATTGCACAAAAAACGGGAAAAAATAATAAGTACGCCACTTTGAATCAATTTATGAATGATTGAAATCCGCGTGACTTTGCCTTCTGCACAAAAATTTGAATAGAGGTGACGTCAGGATTGCTACAGTGTGGAACTTTGGGTATAAAAAGAGGTCTAACCTCAAAAATTAAATTTTGATACCTATACTCTGTCTGTAGGTTAATCGAGGAGGTGGTACATTCATTTTACTTGGTTCGTTGGGATTTTCTCTCCTCGTTTCTATAAAATAAAAGTATTCGTATTATTTCAATATATTTGTAGAGGGACAAATCAGATGATTTGCCCCAAAATGTCACTGCGTTTAACAAATTTTTCTATCAGGGAGTCTAAAAGAAAAATCCAGTAGCTTGTCAGTGACAATTTGTTTGAAAAAATTTTTGAAGGAAAGAAATATAGATATATTGAAAAAATATCGAATTTGTACTTATCTTTGGACGTTTCGGGACCTATTCTGCTCCCGTTCTCAATATATCTATATTTCTTTCCTTCAAAAATTTTTTCAAACAAATTTTCACTGACAAGCTACTGGATTTTTCTTTTAGACTCCCTGATAGAAAAATTTGTTAAACGCAGTGACATTTTGGGGCAAATCATCTGATTTGTCCCTCTACAAATATATTGAAATAATACGAATACTTTTATTTTATAGAAACGAGGAGAGAAAATCCCAACGAACCAAGTAAAATGTTTGATACCTATATTTCTTTATTGCTACCATTCGATAGTATGTCGAGCTTACTCAAGGATTGAAATATTTGCACTAATTTCAATGCCACCCTGTACATTCTTGCTTTTCTCGAATGAATATTATATATATATATACTTCATCAAAAAAGTGATTCTCATCTGGAAAAATATCAAACTTGCATCAAGCATCATATTATACCTACCTATATTCACTGGATATATTGGATACACAAACAACATATCCCATGGATATCTAATGTGTGCTCGATGGTGTGATGTTTGGGTGGTATTCTTTCTAATGACTACCTCATATTACAAGAGCACTGAATTCAAAGGACGTATAGAAACCCCTATTTTGATAACATATATTTTTGAATTCAGCTTGCTTCTTTTTAGGATTCCAGAAATATAATATAGGGTCTGTTCCCTTTGAAAATATTTTTGAGAACGTCATAACTCAAACACAATGACCCTGTATATTTTATGTTTCCTTATAAATAGAGCAAATTGAGAATTTGATATGACCTATTTCAGATAATTCGTCATAATTGATAGTTTGGCAAGAAATGAATTTATTCAGTACTTTACCAAAGGACTTATTCCTTTCACTTCATTTCAGATAGGTGCCCAAAAATGAAAAGTTTCCGAGTTCTGTCCAATTTTTGTCATTTTCTCTCAAATGGGATAAATAATATGGTATTATGATATGAAAATAAAACTTACCAATATGTTCACTATTGAAATGGGCATTAGAATGTATAGGAGAAGAATACTTGTAAACTGTGATCTTGATGAGCTTGATATAATTCAATGTGGCCTATAGCCAGAAAAGTTTTCTGTTGAATAAACCGAGAAAGAGTTGATATATTCATCACATAGAGAATGCGAATTCTCAAAATGTATTTCTTTATATAAATATCCATTTTTATATGTTGACAATTATATCTGAGAATATTCCTTTTCAATACTTTCACCCAATCAAAGGGTTCAAACTTGAACGATAAAAACTTTTTATATTAATAGACCTTTCAACTTCTATGTCGACTCACCAGTTGGCGTTCTAGGCTTCATGGTCACGAACCGACCGTCTGTCCCTCTGGGCAGCGTCCTGGCTTGAGCATGGCTGACCAGAGGCTTCGCTATGGCACTGACCAGGGGGTCCTTACTGGAAGCTATCAGATCCACTACTTCCGGCCTCAAAGCGTCACGGTTCTTGTCCAAAAAACCGTCCACCGAATACCAGACTTGACCAGCAAAATGTCGAATCTAAAATAAGATGAAGTTCTGCTTTTATTTTACATTCAGAAACTACTCCGCTTTTTGAGGCCACGTTGTATTCTCGAAGTTCACCTGGTAGATTTTATTACATGTTTTTTCGTTTCCGATATTGATCCTTTCTACACGTTGACGAATAACAGATGAAGAACTTTGTTGAAAAACGTTCCATTCGCGTTCTTCTTCCACTCTCGGTCAGAAAATAGTGACAGATTCGCGATAAAGAAACGTTTATTTCGATCGTCTGACTAACGTTTCGAAAAAACGTTTTATAAATGCATTATTTCAACAAATCGTCAGGACATATCGTTTTCAATACATTCATGAAACGTTTAGATTCAACTTCATTCCAAGAGTCCAACAAACGTTTGGTACAAACGTTAGTTTTCCTTGAACAGTTCAACTATGATATAGAATATAGTTTGACGACAACTTATATTACACGTTGTGGAAAAACAGATGAAGAACGTTCTTCTCTTTCCACTCTCGGTCAGAAAATGGTGACAGATTCGCGTTGAAGAAACGTTTATTTCGAACGTCTAACTAACGTTTCGGAGAAACGTTTTATAAATAATAATAATAATAATAATAATAAATCGTCTTTAATGGTGAAGGTACATAGTAGGCGCAGTTTAGCCAAAGGCTACTCTTACACTTAACCTAAGATGTACAGTTGAAGTAAGCTAAATTGTTCAATGGGAAGAAAGAGAAGATGTTCAAACATAATGCATATAACATAATTTATAACATAGACTGTATGTACTTATATGAAATAATGTTACGAGGCAAGTAAAGGCTGAAATAAGAATTAAAAATATTCAAGAAAAGGCATTTAAATTCATGTTAGTATTCAAAAAGTGTTTTTTCAGGATGATTCTTATTTTTGTTTTCGAAAATTGCATGTAATTGATCAACAGTGAGTTGTAGAATTTGACGGAGAGATAAGTGAATGACTTCTGGAACAATGACGTTTTATGACGCGGTACATAAAATTTGTTTTTTGCTCTTACATCGAATGAATGTAGCGTAGATCTAGGAAACAGTTTATTATATAGTGACGAGGGAGTTTTGGAAGTTAGAACTTTGTACACAAAGTTGCATAAATTATAATTAGTACGATTTTGCATTGTTAACCAGTTCAGTTCTATGATTTTGCTAGACACATGATCATATTTTCTCAAAGAGTAGACCAGTCTACAGCAGAAGTTCTGTACTTTCTGTCTCCGATTCAAATCAAATTTATTCAAAAGATTGCTATACACAATATCCCCATAGTTGAACCGTGACAAGACCAAAGATTCTGTGAGAAGTTTCCTGATTGATTGGCTGAAATAATGTCTATTTGAGTAAATGAGTTTGAGAGCACCAAACGATTTTTTAAGCAAATCATTCAAATGCAAATCAAATTTTAGGTCAGAGTCAAAAATAATACCCAGGTTTTTAATATAGTTCACAACAGGGAGAATGGTGTCATCAATTTTAATTTTAAGATTTTGTGAGACAATAGTTCTATTCTTTTTATTACCGAAAAGCATCAAGTGACATTTATTCTTGTTCAATTTCAAATTGTGTTGCGTAGCTAAATTAGTAATGGTTCGTAGGTCAGAATTAATGAGATTTTGAATAGCTCCATAGTTGTCGATGTTTAGGTTGGTATATAGTTGTGTATCATCAGCATAAGCCTGAACTTTAGAGTACTGTATAGAGGTCAATATATCACTAGTATAAATTATGAATAGTAACGGTCCTAAGATTGACCCTTGAGGCACACCAGAAGTAACATTTCGTGTTGACGACATTTCATTATTATAACATACCGTTTGACAGCGATTCGTGAGATATGAAAGAAATAAAAAGACTACTTCATCCGAAAATCCATAATATTTCAATTTGAAACAAAGTAATGTATGATTTATAGTGTCAAATGCCTTTGAAAAGTCTAATGCAACTAGAGCTGTCAATTCTTTATTATCAGAGTTTCGAATTATGTCATCTGTAACTTGAACGAGAGCTGCTGCTGTGCTATACCCACTTCTAAACCCCGCTTGACAATCTGGAATAATATTATTTTCATTCAAGTATGAAATGACTTGGTGATGGATGACTTTTTCCAATATTTTTGAAAGCGCAGAGAGAATACTTATTGGACGGAGATCGGTGAAGTTCACTGGGTTCGAAACTTTACTCAATGGTCTGACAATAGCAATTTTCCATAAATTAGGAAAATAACATTTTTCTAAGCAACAATTCAAAATATGAGTGAGAAAAGCATCTATGAACGGACTACAATAGTTAATCATATTTATGGATATACCATCAAAACCAGTAGCATTTGATTTAATAGTTGATAAGACTTGCTTCATTTGATCAACAGTTATGAATTTTAGTTTGAAAAGATCCTCTTGATTTTTCAATTTTGGATATTTATTATTATCGTAGAATTTCAAAAATTCATTGTCAATTTCATCATCAATAAATACTGAAGCGAAATAATTATTGATTTCTTCAGGATTTTGCAAGAAATTTGGTAAGTCGGTATTATTTTTTTTATTATTGATATTCTTTAGGTTTTTCCATAATTTTTTAGAGTCATTACATTTGAATAAACTGTCATAATAAGCCTTCTTTTCACGACGAACAGATGATAGAGTGAAGTTTCTCAAATTTTTGTAGTGTACCCAGTCAATTTGTGATTTCGAAATCTTGAATTTAGCAAGAGCTTTGTCTCTTTCTTTCATCATTAATTCGATGGGATATGTCAACCAGGGAGCAGGAGCTTTTGTCATACGCGCTGTCTTGATAGGTGCATGTTTATTGAAAACAGAAAGAATTAACCCCGTAAAAAATTCAACTTTATCGTCAATATCATCGATTGTATAAATATCATGGAAAGGTGCACTCTCTAAATCTGTACAAAACCGATTATAATTAAAATTCTTGAAATCTCTATAGGTATGAATTTTTGGTTTTTGTTTGGGACAATCAATTTGAATTTCAGCAAAAACCAGGCAATGATCGGAAACAGAGCTTGCATCTTTTACACCCGCGTTACTAACGAATTTCTCATTTGATATGAATATAGGGTCTAATAACGTCATACCATTACTTACAATTCTAGTGGGCTCATTGATGAGTTGCGAAAAATTGTAGCCCTCAAAATACTCACTCAAGATATTGTTGGATAACATGTTCACATTCATGTCACCAAAACAGATTATCTCATCAACCATAGGTATTATTTGTGACAGTGAATCATCAATAGAATTGATAAAAGAAGCCAAATTACCTTTCGGAGGGCGATATGTGTTTCCAATAGCAAACGAGATATTATTTATCTTTATTTGTATCCATAATTGTTCACAATGGTCATCGATCCTACTGAGATCAAGCATTCTTGAAGAAATATTATTCTTAACGTATATGCCTATTCCTCCACCACGAGTTGGCCTATCTACTCTGAAAAAAATATATCCAGGGATTGCAACAGTTAAATTATCCACTACATCAGTAAGCCATGTTTCAGAAACACCCACTATATCAAATCCGTCAATAAGATTAAGAAACTCTGCAAAATGCGGTAAAAGTGAGCGGACATTCAATTGACATATTTGCAAATTGCTTTTCATATTAAAATTTCACTTTTAATCTTGCATACTAGGACATCCTGTACAAACGAAAAATATAAGCAGATATCCTTGAGTTACTTTTGAGGAACCATGGATAAAAGAAAGATAAGAATCATTCACAAAAACCTCATTAACTATCTCAAAACCCAGTCAATAAAAAATGTATAGTTCTTTACAATTACAAAGAAATGTATCCTAATCAACTGAATATACAATAATTCTTGTCGAAATGAATGTTTTGAAAAAAAAAAGAGTTAATAACAGTATCTTAGGAAAACCTTACTTTAATGTTTGAAAAATGCGTTATATGTTACGATTGAGACCCTAAAAATAAAAAAAATAAAAAAAAAATGAAAGATATAAAGAAAATACAAACGTAAATGGAAATATGCTTTTAGAAACGTGAATTACGTTTGAGAGGAGAAGTTGATTCGGCTTAAGCTATACAATAGTAATTTATTTGATATCATTACAGTTTTTAATGAAAAGTTTCACTCCATTAGTTTGAAGAATGCAGATTTTCCCGTTCTGCGTCCATACCTTGGATCTACCATACTTTTCTTTTGCCAACACAAGTGCATCGTACCTGGATTTAGTTAGATCTTCAGTAATAGTAATTCTAGATCCCTTCAGCTGTTTCTTTCTATAGAAAACAGTGTTACGATCTTGAACTGATGCGAATTTCACTAGAATTGGCATCGGTTTATTTCCTCTATCAGTCCTGGATTTCATGCGGTAACAATTTTCAATTCGAAAGTCAGTTTCCTTCAATTTCAACTTATTGGAGCAAATATTCTTGACGACCATCTGTATGTTTTCATTGGCATCTTGCTTCACACCGTATAGCCTCAAATTGGGAATTTTGAATTTTTGTTCAATTTCATCAATTTTATCTAATAATTTTTCATTTACAGCTGATATTTCTTCGTTGTGTGTACTCACAGATCTGACTTTTTCTTCCAGCTCAACAATTCTATTCTCAAGCTTAGATATCACTAAACCAGCCAAATGATCAGCAAAAACATTCATAATTTTCTCATCACGTAAGCATTCATTGATTATTTGCTTAATATCTTGCCTTTGATCCTTTGTGAAGACCATCTTTGAACTTGTTAACTTGCGAAACGAGTGAACTAAACAGACGGGAAAATAGCGAATGATTTGAAATCGTATAAACGCCGAGCCAACGATAAACGTCTACTCTCTTCTGATGCTCATCGCGGAATGTATAATTTCAACAAATCGTCATGACATATAGTTCTCAATATGTTTATAAAACGTTTAGAATCAACTTTGAATACTTCAACTATATTTCAACGTTGAATTTCTCAACCATAAACGTCTATCTAACTTGTTCTACGTTTGATGAGACGTTGAAAAAACATACGTGTGCCCATTGGACTGTGGTCGGTACCACTATGTAGTAAGTCTCATTTTTTTCAAAATCATGATTCAAACAATGTTATAACTGACCATGAACATGATATTCCAAAAAACCAGTACTTTAAATAAGGAACCAGATGTAGAATGCAAAAGAACCTGAGGAAATATAATTTCTAGAATAGTGACTTACCCCAAACTCTCTTCCTCCAACTCTGGGTCTGCAATATTGTTCATTCAGGGCATGATTGTAATGGCATTTTTCTAAGAAGGAAGAATCGGAGGCTTTGGGGAAGTTGCTCTCGTCATCTAAGAGATGAAGGATGCCGACAGGTTTCTTCCCCAAGAGATGAATCACTGGGGTGTTATCCACCCAAGTGAGGTTGGTCCATTCGAGTCGTTCTTTGGCATATTCTTGTTGTTCTGAAAGTACAATCATACCTCCGTGAATATTCTGATTATTATCGAAATTCCGAATGGCTCAAGAGAAACTTTGAGTAGCGGAAAAAGGTCTGCAGCCGTAGTATAACCAATTCAATAGCTAGGCTACTGCTCACTTAGGTAATATACAGTGCTTCCCAGAACTAAGAGATATACTTAGAATTTGATGCAAGATTCAAAAATTAAAAACAAAACAGGTGTTCCTATTTGGGAATATGAAGTTGGCGATAGTTCAGGGTATCAAGTATACATGAATGTACCATCGATAAACCTGCATCAAAATATGAAAATCGACGGTTTCGAGCGGTTTCCAAAAGGAACTCAGTTATTTCTTCTGGGAATCACTGTATAACCAAATAGATTTTGCTGTGATGGAACATACCTAACTTGAAGATGTGCTTATTGAAATAAAGCTGTAGGGATTCTGATGCAAAATTGATGCAAAGTTGCTCGAATGAATTCTCGTTGAGGTTCTCGAAACCAAAAATATCTAGAAGGGATATTCTAGCTGCGTCATGTAAACCTCCTTTCTGTACTATTGAATTGATTCTCGTAACCAACCTGTGGAATGAAAAAAAAAGGTACTATAGATACTACAACGAGGATGGAAAGGATGTCAGCATGGAAAGAACATCCTCTAAGGTGAATTGGAGTTCACTAAGATCTTGGAAAAGTTCCAATATATTGATGTTGTTGAGGTTTTCCAAAGAACCTGACTTATACCTGACTGCAATAATTATTTTTGTTCTAAATAATCGATTATAATATGATAATAATTCAAATATTCCTAATGTTTATAATTCCAAAATTGTTATATTTGAGTAAGATGAATAAAAACTTGTTTCTATTTCAAGATGAACTTTACATTGTTTGAAACATATACATTCAATGACATATCACAGTGTACATTTGATCTCAAAATGGCGGCGCAGGACACATATTTTTTCAAATCAATATGGCGACAATGTGGCGTCATCGATTATATTTTTGTCAAGCAATTAAATGAAATATCAAATAAACGAAGCATTTCGATTAGTGTTTCATGAAACATGCGGAGATTTTGATTCATCGCTAATTCTTTCAAATGAAATTCTTTCTCTTGAATTTTCCTCAAAATATTGAATTCGGAAATGGAATTGCGTTCAGGGTTAGGTTTCGAAAAATTATATTTTCCATGCACACGTAATTATTCACTCAAGTAAGATGAAAAAGACAACATTCAATGCTTTTTCAATTAAAAGAAGTTTACTGAGGAAAGTTGTTTCTATTTCAATTTTACACATTTGTTTCGAATTTCAAAGTTTTACATGTTTTATTTCAACTCCTATTTGTTGGAATTTTCTGATTTCCTCTAATTGCATCGTCGACTAAACTGTCCTAAACCATGGTTACATACGTAGTTTGATGATTTTTCGGTAGATGAATTATATCGCAGACATTTCGTAGAAATTGGGAGAATATAAAAAAAATATAGAAGTTGTTATAGAATGTTCAAATTTGGAACACATATATAAAATTGTAGTAGGAACAACTTTTATCGGTGAACTTTCTTGAAATTCGAACCAATATGCCAATTTTCTGCGATTAATTAGAAAAAATATGACTTTTGACATGTAGCGTTGTCACGTGACCACGACCGAGTAGTACATTTTCGTATTTTTCAAAGCAAAACTCAACGTCAAATTATTTTGAAAGTTTTTCCAACATATTCACATGGCCCATCGATGAAAAATCAACTGAAAAACTAAGAATGATCTAAATCATTGCTAAAACTCAGAATATCATATGAGTGTAAAATATCTTCGAAAAGCGCAAAGCATCAATGTGTCAAATATGAAAAAAATAAACAGGGTGTGCCATGTAAAACACATAACTTTGGGATATATCTGAAAAATAATAGCTTATTTTGGAAATCTTACTGCGCCACTAGATTTAACGTGAAAAAATGTATGAAGAGCAATTTTCACTTTTTAGAAAAGTTGAAAGATGGCTAAGATACAGTAGGGGACCCAAAGTGCAACATTTTCAATTTCGCTCTATACAGGGTGACAAACTTTTATGATCATATAAATTGTGTATAATGAGGTCATAAGTTGATATTTAAAATTATGAAGGAACATTTTATTTCATTCTTTTCAGAGCATTCACATAAAAGCTTTTTTTACTTTCAATTTATATTATTTATCTGTTTGTTCCAGAGGCCGCATGAATGAAAATCTGCTTCTTCTCACTCTGCTCTCAAATGCGGTTACAAAACATCTTTTATCTACACTTTTTTAATGATTTGAACGGGTACAACACACTTTTGAATATTTTGTGTTACAAACCGGGCCAACCTGTATATCAAAAAGGAAGCGAGCTATGAGAATTTTGTTTGCGGTATCGTGAGTTTCAGAAAAAATTAGCCAATTTTCGCGAAAATAAATGCGAGATATCCCGTATATAAGAACATCGAAAATGGGACAGTCTGTACAGGGTGAGCTCTGTCACTTACCAATTGAAGAGCGCCGAGTAAAGCGCCTTGGCGAAAGCGTCTCTGGCGTCGAGCGCTTGGTCTATGCTCAACGGGGAATACACTCTTTCTGCTCGCGCCTCCGTGATCCTTGACGTCAGAGCGCGTTGCAATCCATTCGACGAGATTTGCAAAAGATGTGCCGCCCACTTGATTTCCACATCGGATCCTACTTCCACTCCTTCCTGGCCGTGCCTTAACATAATGATATGATGATTATTCCGGGTGTCATTGATTATACGCAATGCATTGTTTGATGAAAAATAAATATTTTTCGCAATTGATTTACTCATTGAACAAATTTATCGTTAACAATTCAGGTGACAGGGTTTCTTTGAATGATGCTTACTTATACGATGAAAATTCGTGAAAAAATAATTGATTTATCAACTGTTGCAAATCGGTAGAAAATGTCGCGGGAGATCAGTAATTTTCGTAACAAGTCCGGAAAATACTGGTTTTTTGAACGAGTAGACAAAATTCTAGGCCGACCCGAGGCGAGTCCTGGAAGTCAGCGAGTCCAAAAAAAAAACTGTTTTTAAACGTGTTGCGTACACTAGTTTTTCGGCAACCATGTAGAATAATAAATCAATGAGACACATTTCCATATTATATTTATTTGTAGAATATTTGCTTCAAATACTGAAATTTGATCGAAATACTTATATACGTACTAACTGCCTTATTGAAAATTTCGTATGGACATTTTCAAACTCACAATAGCTGTCAGCCGCTATTTTGCTGCTTTGGTAATCTTCATCTGAATTTATCAAAACCATAACCAGTGACAACGACGATACTCTCCGGACTAGGCCGGAAAAAAACTACTGTCTCAAAGCAAAAGCGTCCGGGAAGTAAGCGAAATATCCTACATATACTCAGTGATTGAAGCAAAATGTTCCTATATAATACTCCATTTATTCAAATATCTTTATTTTCACTAGTGGATTCTATGCTGAAAAGTAGGGATAGTGAATTTGAAAACCTCGCAATTCTTGTGGATATTTTTGAAAAACTCAATGGAAAATGATACTTTTCATTGAAAAAAAACGAACTTATGTTGTTCATTTCCGGTATAATCGAAAGTTTTAGACAACTGGAAGTACTTCAGTTGGAACGATCAACTTTATTACTGTCATTCAACATTTGTCTGAATAATCAACATGGGAAATGAATCTCTTTTGTTAGAAATCAGTGTTCAGAATCGGTTTAGAAACCGGGACCAAAGTCTTACATTTCATATCTGCTGACAGGTTATGAAACGTCACTTTCCATGAATTACTTTTTTCCCACAGAAGAAAGTGAGTACTTTTTTCACGGAAATATAGGTGCACTGTTGATGGATTTTGTTTTGCTAGTTCCGAAAAATATGCGAAAACCGTCTCCAAGAAAGAACTGCAAGTCTTTTTTATCTTCCATTCCACTTCGCGGTTACGTGAATTACTGAACCACTGAGTTCGCAATTTTTTATATCCAATCACAGAATTATTAGACCTGCAGATAATTGATTACTTCAAAAGAATGATAAAGATGCCTACAGCGCAGGTGTGATTCCCTTTGAAAACTTCAAATTTCACGTCGATAATTTTCAGACTTTGATATAATTTTATATCTTCTCTCTGAAATAAAAGTGACTATTCTGAAACTCAATTGACGCTTTTTAAAATATAACTGGAAAGGTGTAGTCCCAGTAGTTTTGCATTACCATGTAACCTCAATACAAATCCACATAATATACAACAAACCAACGCGATTCTGACTATACTCAAACACTCATATCAGTTCTATGAAAATATGAACGATAATTCAAATATCAGTGTGCATCAGAATTCAACAAATAATATAAATTTGCGAAATATCAGTCCCTTATATCACCTTCAAAAACCAACAACCAAAGTCACTTACTTACTCGACAAGCATCAGTGATCGATTGAAAAACATGAATCTTAGTAACTATATTCAGTCTATGCATGAAGTTGAGTGTTATTATTTATCATTTTGATTTATTTCTCGTATTATATCTTATATCCTGGTTGAGTGGAAGATCATGATTAGCTGAACTCCGCCAAGTTGAATAAAGGAAATCTAATCAACATTCAATAGAGGTGGATTGATCTGATAAATCAATCGTCATTTATCATGAACCACTTCGATGTCACAAAATTTATAAGTTTTCAAAAATTATTGCTATTTCAGAAGCAACACGTGGCATTACCTCCGATTCAATTTGCAAGCTGTCATAACACCCTAACCAAGCCAAATAAATTGTAATGAAATACTCCAAATTTATTAGAGTTTGACAGTGATTACATACACCATGTGCTCAGAAGAAGTCTCTCAAAAACGAACAAAATCTGGATGCTTTTAGCATCTCACAAGATTTTTTATGTTCTTTCGAAATTCCTCATACTCTACCAATCTGGAAATTCACATCTAGCATATTCGAAACAATCACACACAATATTTCATCTATTATCTATGATCCACAAGGTTTGCAGAGCAACAGCACTTTCATCAACAAAGCATCGTGAATTTCTAAGAATTTATCAAAATGCAGTTGAATCGTCTGTTTAGTTTGGTGCAGCTACAAAAATACGTTGTTAAAGTTATGATTCATTCATTTGGATCGACTGCTCCAAACATGAATTATATCGAAAAATCTTCAGAATCAAGGGAGAGCCGAAGAGATCACATTTTGGTGATTATCATATAGGTATCGATAGGCTTAAAACTTGAAAATTATTCAAAAATTCGTGATTTATTCACCTCATTTGTCTTCTGTGGAAATAAACGTTTCCCAGATGCAGGACAGAAGCCAGCATCCTTGTGATTCCTTCTTGTTCGGACTCGCCTACTCCCAATACCTCCATGGCTCTAGTAAGAGCCCTCCAGTCAGCTCCGGAACCTGAGTGCCCAGGAGAACAATCTGCACCTCCTGAAAGGAAAATTAGGTATGAAAATAATGGCCCAACCCCACATTCAACTGCACTGAGTATCATTGTGAAATTATCCACTCATTGACTCTAGCTTAGTAGTTTATCTGCGTTTAACTGAGTGATACCAATGTTGAGAGTCATGTAATTAATCTAGAAATCTATTTTGAGGATTTCCTCGATATGTGAACAATTCACTCCTATTTGTCTAGATATGTGGGTCACTAAAAACCTGCATCATAGTTTTTTTCCATGTCTGGAAGAAGAAACGGTAGAATGATCTTACTGCGGAAATATTTTTGGTCAATTGGTCAATAATTGTCACGAAAGGATATTTTCCAAATTATTCTCAAATATTACTATTACTTTTATTATTATTTCACTGTTCTAATTTATCGAGTTTATTATATATTTCTCGGCAGTCCAAGTGTCATCGTTCGTGACAAAACATTTTTCACTTATAATTACACGAGAGCTCTTATTTGGTCGAAGTAAACCTGGCGATTTGACGAAAAGAACTTTTCTGGCAGTTTTTTGAGTTGAATTACCTGATGGCAACAAAATTCGAATAATAAATGCCAAGTTTACTTCGACTAAAAAAAAAAGAGTGTAATTCGATAAGACAATTCAATTCATTTGTTTATGGCTAATTGTCATGCTTTCGAAAGTTAGGTTCCGTTATTGTCGCTGGAAAAGTTGAGGCAAACTTTTTTCGCTGTCATAATGACAATTTCACGCGGCTTGTGGGATTTTTCATAGTTGAATCAAATTGTCGATAAAATAAACATTTTGAGGTGATCGATTATAATCCACGTACCAAGGGTGACTTTACTTTTGGTCCGAATAGCAGACGGTTGCTTGTAGTAGTTTTGTTGGATTATTTTAAGTACCATTTTATATTCGATTTTCACGGAACAAATGATGAAGAAGTATTCCAAAATATTCTCTCGATAAAATCTAATGCCGTTGGCGCAGATAGTATAAGTGTAAAAATACTTCTCCATTGCTGTCCCTTCATCCTGCCTTACTTAACACATATCTACAATGAATGTATTGAATTGAATGTCTTTCCAGTGAGTTGGAAAAAGTCCATTTTCAAGAGGCATGTAATTCCATTGGCTAAAACTAGTAAACCACAAAACTACAACGATTTACGCCCTATCAGTATCTTATGTGTCCTCTCTAAAATATTTGAGAAAATAATAAATAAACAAATTCGAATTTATTTAGAGCAAAATAACATATTACCGCCAAGTCAATCTGGCTTTAGACCTGATCATAGCTGTACAACAACTCTACTCAATATTGTAGACGATTTATTGGCTTCCATTGATAATAATCACTTATGTCTCCTTGTACTGATAGATTATTCAAAAGCTTTCGATAAAATTAATCATGAACTTATGTTAAATTTATTGAATTATTTGGGATTTTCGTTGAATGCCGTGAAACTCATTGAGAGTTACTTGATTAACCGCTCGCAACGTGTAATCTTGGGTAGTGTCGTGTCAAACTATCTCAATCTCCATTGCGGCGTGCCACAAGGCTCAATAATCGGTCCGCTTCTATTTGTTATTTATACATCTCAATTTCCTAAATGCCTTAAGTATACCAAGATTCAGAGTTACGCTGATGACACACAAATCTACAAAACATTTTCTGAAAATATGTTAGATACAGCTTGTGAGCAGATCAGTGAAGACCTAAATAATCTCGTAAATCTATCCAGAAATTATTGTTTGAACATAAATTCCTCTAAAACTGTTGTTATGCTTTTCGGACGCAAAAAAATGAGACAAAGATGTATCAACAAGATCGATATAAAAATTCAGAATGAGACGTTGACACTAACCGAATCTACCAAAAATCTTGGACTCATGTTAGATTCCACCCTGAAATTTTCATCGCACGTTTCCCTGATCTTGAAACGGGGTTTCAGTAATTTGAAGTCTATATATTCCAATCGGAAAATCCTGAATCCAAAACTCAGGCAGATTCTATGCGAATCTCTTGTACTCTCTCATGCAAACTTTGCCGACTCAGTGTACGGTCCTAATCTACTACAAACAGAAAAAAAATGACTACAAAAATTACAGAACTCTTGTGTCAGACTAATAACTGGAACGAGGAGGCGTCAACATGTGTCGCATCATCTGAACAGGTTAGGATGGTTGAATATGGAGACTCGAAGAGTTTTTCACTCATGCGTCCAATTTCATAAAATCATCTTGAAACAAAAACCCAGCTACTTACATGAGAAAATTAAATATAGGACTGATATCCATAATCTGAATTTACGATTCAAAAATCAGCTCACTGCACCCACCCACAAGACTCCTGTTTTTCGTGGCTCATTTTCATACAACGTCGTATGGCTTTTCAATCGGTTACCCAATTATCTCAAGAATCTATCACCAGGAGGGTTCAGGAAGCATTTATTTAAGCTCCTTAAAAATGGATCCTTGGAACTAGTAGTCTAGTTATCATCCTTCTAGTAGTCTAGTTATCATCCTAATGATGAACATTATATCCAATGGTACTGTTTATATTTTGTTTTGTATTCGTTTTTTTTTTCAGGTATGAAAAGATTGACAATTATTATTTCACCATAGTTATTTTCAAAGATATTAGCAGGTAGTATAATATATAGTTTTTTTTTATTTATGAATCACTCATATAATATATATATTTTTTTTTCATTTATGAATCACTCATGGGTTGAATGGAAGAGCAAGCTCTGAATATAAGTCTCTGACGATGTATTCAGAATTTGAATTCTGCCTTTTGATAGTTACAAGTGCATTTTGCAGACTCGATTATATCTCTGTGAATATTCTATTATTTTTTTGTACTTGTTATACTTATCAATAAAATCATTATTATTATTATTATTATTATTATATCTATTCTGTCGTCAACATAATGCCTCTTCAATGAATTTCAAAATTGTATTTCATCGTTAATAAATCCATATTTGTTTTTGTTGTTCAATCTGTAGCCCTTTTATTGAGTATCAACCCTCAGCAAATCCCAACTAGCAAAGAAAATAAGTCACATTCGTGACGATAGATATCAGAGATGATAGCATAACCATCAAAGGAGATGGAAATGCCCCTAGAAGTAACTAACTGTGACTGCCAATTATACAATTAGTCCAGCAACCTGCTCTCAACTATTATACCAAACAACCAAGTTCAAATACTCTCTGAAGCAAGAATACGAATACTTCCTAAAATAGAGTAGCATGGGGCATTTGCTCATCCTTCTCCATGAGACTTCATAGGCTAACTTTCCGATCTTCTGTGTATTTTTGAGCTCACAGAAGAGTTCTAGACCATTCAGAGCTTCACTTGCTTCTAGTCGGGCTAGTGAATCAGCCTCTTCATTGTCCTCATTTTTTGTATGTGCTTGCACCCATGCTACAGTCAGCGACTGACTGCCTAATTCATCAATTAATTTTGAATTACTTTGCATCGAGTTGACTGCTTATAATTATTGTCGCGTCGCTATCCTAGTATATATTGCAATGGTTTTTCCATTAAGCTCGTATTCACCCAATATCAGTGAGACTTCCATTGTCTCTGCCTTGGTGCCTTGGTTCCTCAGTTTTGGAACTGTCCATGTAGACAGAAAGGCATCGATTGAAGTTCCTTCCTTCCATGCCTCTCTACCCGTTATACTTGTTTTAAAAGTTGTATCGAAGCTATATTTTGGAGTTATGCCATCTGCTGGCATTCCCATGATGGGATCCCTTTCCATTTCTTCATGTAGCTTGTTTTAGTCTCTAACATGCATATAATAGTTCATGGATGCTTGACCTCTGGATAGTCCTTTCACGACTACTCGCTGGCATCGCCACGAATGTATATTCATACTGGTGGCGAGTTCAAGAGGACCTCTAGGCTGATGAAGTGGTTTTTATTGCACTAGTGGCAATCAGGTGACCTTGCCTTTGAATGGCACTGAGCCTTTGGATCACTCCAGCTTGTTGTATCTTCGGCCACCAAACCACCCATAATCAAGCTATCATGGGCCTAATGACAGTGGCACAGGCCATGTGGTCATTTTTGGTTGCAGCCCAAATTTTCTCCGCAGATTCATCTGCACAGATTGGACACTACTGTACTTCCTTGTTCAATGTTTTATTGGTGTTGATTCCCTGTTAGCTTATGGTAAGATGACTCCTAAGTATTTTGCCTCCATAGCAAACGGTATTGAGAACATTTATAAGTGAAGATTCAAAATCAAACTTAGTATGCATTCACATCAACAACTTGCCTTGATTCAGATAGAAATATTTATCAGCCTCAATCAGCCCATACTTCTGCTTCTCCGTATTGTTCATACTGCCTAAAAGCTCATAGAACACGTGATAGTTCCTCTTCGATAAGATTTCTCTCCTTCCATGCCACTCTATCCGTTATACGTGTTTTGAAAGTTGTATCAAAGCTTTATTTTGAAGTTATGCCATCTGCTGGCATTCCCATGATGGGATCCCTTTCAATTTCTTCATGTAGCTTGTTGCAGTATCCACCATGCATTTACTTGCCCATGGATGTTTGACCTCTGGATAGTCTGCTCACGACTACTCTGGCTTCGCCACGAATGTATATTTGTACTGGTGGCGAGATCAAGAGGACCTCTAAACCGGCTGATAGAGAGGTTTTTGTTGCACTAAAGGCAACCAGGTGAGCTTTCCGTTGAATGGCACTGAGCCTTTGAATCACTCCAGTCTGTTGTATCTTCGGCCACCAAACCACCGACCCATAATTGAGCTATCATGGGCCTAATGACAGTGGCATAGACCATATGGTCATTTTCGTTGTAGCCCCAATTCTTTCCGCATATTTATCTGCACTGATTGAACATGTTTGATTGGTGTTGATTACCTGTAAGCTCATGGTCCGAGCTGACTCCTAAGTATATCACCTGTATAGCAAATGGAATTGAGAACATTTATCACTGAAGATTTAACATCAAACCTAGTATGGATTCACATCAACAACTTGCCTTGATTCAGATAGAAATATTTATCAGCCTCAATCAGCCCATACTTCTGCTTCTCCGTATTGTTCATACTGCCCAGCAACTCGTAGAACACGTGATAGTTCCTCTCGCCTGGCGCCTGAGTCACTATCCTGGACTTCTCAAGCAAGTACTGCGTCAATTTGGCCCCGATGATGGAACCTTGCTTGAAGTACACCTCCAGGTACTTCCCGAACCGGGAACTGTTGTCGTTCCGTGCCGTACGAGCGTTGCCGAAGGCTTCCAAGAGGGGAGCCGCTTCCAGGATCTGCTCGGTGACCAGAGCCTGGCCTCTGGGCGCTGAAGGGGCAACAGCTGCCAGGTATTGCATCACCAGCTTGGTGGATTCGGTCTTGCCTGAGCCGCTCTCGCCACTGATCACCACTACCTGCGCAATGATAATGTTAGTTCGAAGAGGGAATAACAAGTGAGGTACGTAGTTTTTGAAAGGTATCAGATTATAGTATAGATGTAGTTTTCATTAGGTATTAGATTAGTATAGAGGTCAGATAATTTATACGACGCTATAAAAGCAGATGATATTTTATTATTGCTCATGTAAGATGGAAGTAGAGGCCATGGCACTATATCATAAGCATATTTTTATATTGAAACTATCATTGGGCACCAAAGATGTGTATACATACGACGCTATGAAAGTTCAGAGAACTGGAGTTTTTTCCCACAAACTACGTACTTAGCCCACTCGACTGTCTTGGTCTTTCCAGACAGTCGAGTGAGCTAGGTACGTAGTTCATGAGAAAAAAATCAAGACAGTCGAGTGTGCTTCTTTACTTTCTTTTGTTTTTTGTTTTGTTTCCTATTGGCAAGTGATTATCTAGGAACTTGTAATTTTTTTAGTTTTTCATCGTATCTCCCGAACTATTGAATTCAGAGAAAAATGTTATATGGATTTTTTGTAGATTCTATCAGAAGGAATAATTTTGGTTCTGAAACATTTTCAGATATTTTCAGTTGTTTTCGAGTTATTTGGAATTATCTGAGAATACAATTTTCAACACTTTTGTTCCATCTTCCAATCAACAAAAGGAAAAAATATCTCATGGTTCAGTGGAAGTAAATGAGCTCCATCTATCGATAATCTTTGTTTTTCAATATATCTTCATGGTACCCTATAGGAAATGTTACAGTGGATAACTCTGCACTTCTGATAATTTTCGATTTTTCCATTTGTTTTCGATATACCGGGTGGATACGGAAGTATTGCCTACGGAATATCTCAGTTATTGTATGAAGTAGGTTTGTGAAATTTGGAGCGTCGATATAATGACATAAGAGCTAGAATTTGAGCATATTGACATTTCGAAGTTAACTTCCGGTCTGACCGGAAGTAACATCAACTTTCTTATTTTAAATGGAAACCCTATTTTTTTTTCTTCTCGCTTTATTCAGCATTCAATTCCCTTTCTAATGACATATCAAAATTTATTTTATCTGTTTTTCGATAAATCTGTTTTTTTTTTGTTATTTGAAGAATAATAATTGGATTTTTTGGTATTTCATTTCAAAAAATGACTTTCTATTATATCATTAGAAAGGAATGGTAATGCTGAATAGTACAGGCAAGAAAAAGTTGTATGTTCCTATTTAAGTTATGGACCTACAGAGTATTGTTTTTTTCCCAATTTTTCCAATATTTTTTTGGCGGCTTTTTATAATGCCGACGAATGAAAATGAAATATCACAGTAGTAGCAACTGTTATCAAGTGACGTATGGTTTCCATAGCCAACTTTTCAATTTTTGGCTTTCATTTTGCTTCCACGGCCTACTCTGTGAATTTCAATAATGATTTTTTTATGATCTAGTTTCTGGTTAGATATCAACTTGTGATATGTCATTAGAAAGGGAATTGAATGCTGAATAAAGCGAAAAGAAAAAAAAATAGGGTTTCCATTTAAAATAAGAAAGTTGATGTTACTTCCGGTCAGACCGGAAGTTAACTTCGACATGTCAATATGCTCAAATTTTAGCTCTTATGTCATTATATCGACGCTCCAAATTTCACAAACCTACTTCATACAATAACTGAGATATTCCGTAGGCAATACTTCCGTAGCCACCCGGTATATTGAATTGAAAGGATTTCAAATTTTGATGTTGATTTTCATTTGTTTTTCCATTTTCCGATGGATGCACGAGAAAATGGTTATATAACAATTTGTTGCGTCATCAAAGAGGCATACGGTGCATTTTTCAAATTTGGATTTACTCTATTGGTTCAGGAGATATGTCGTTTTAAAGCGAACCGTGTGTTTCGGAAAATCTCCATGAAAAACCCACTTGGAATTTTCCGACCCTGCTCAATTTCAAGAGGCCTCGTCTCTCCCTGATAGAGTTTCTTTTCACAAAAAATGAAATCGATCGGACCACTTTTGCGATTTGTAGAGTGGTTACAAGAAACTTGGTGATAAAAAGAAAAAACCCGGAAAAACCACCTTAGAGTTTTCCGATTTCCTTCATATTTCAATGACATGATATTGTTTTGAGTACAATAAGATGGCGAAATTTCAAGTCGATATGTCGAAGGATTCCGGAGATATATCGATTTATGATTACCACAGATCAATCAAAACTGATGAAGCTTTGGTGGATTTGATTGTGAGATTTTCTTTCTCCCTATCATATGACATACCTGCGGTGCTGGTAAAGCAGCATAAGCAGCTGCTCCAAGAGCGAACAGATGCGGTGGTAAATCCCCTATCATCCTCCCTTTGTATCTCTGGGCAGTCTCTACACCATAGCTTCCATCGTGTGTCCTGTGAATTGAATTCAAAATATTGATCATTTTCATTTCATTAGTGTAATGAAGTTATACCCAGAGTCACTGAATGGTATTCTAACTAATACCATCCACTGACTCCAGTTAAACCCAGTTGTCATGGCTTGATCCCAGAGATATTGGAGGGCATCACATTCATGCCAAACATCATATCCGTGACTCGAAATGAAAGTACCACTGAAATCACAATGTCTGGAATAGCAGATGTGGTCCGGAATAGCGGACCTTTTTGGTCATTTTATGATTCACATTATGATGCCAAATGAAACTCACAGTACGTATTGAGCGACTCCTCATTCAATATCAAAATTGATTGATTCCGTTTGTTACATAAATAGACAAGAATGTGAGGTTCCAGTCCCGTGAGTCTCTTGGTTGTTAGGAAGCATCACAAATTCACCTACATTTTGAGTCTCAAATCCAATAAAATGTGACGAATCTTGTGAATGTTTCTTGAAATAAAGAGTGTCCTGACAATACCAATGATGTTTCCTTGTGACTCGCATTGTTACCTAGCGGGACATAAATGTAACATCCCAGGGATGTTCATGTTTACTGGATAGGCAGAGGCTGGGTAAAGATAAGTGAATAAATCAATCTGCAATATCATGAGAGAACCATCATTATTCATCTATGGAATTCCTCGTTATAAGATGGCATTTTGACCTTCATTTAGCACGTGAGTTTACTACTTTAGCAAGTAGATCGAAAACGTCCTCATACCCTGAGTTGACCAAATCGTATTGTAATATAGAGAGACTGACAATCAAGCTGCCTTTAGGCGTCTTCAGGGTTTCAAATAGATAATTAAAGACTAATAGGTGCCAATGCATAAAGATTGAGGAAAGATTCAGAAGATTTTCTAATTTATTCTTGAAAAATCGGGTCCTACAAGTGGGTACCGAGATCTAGATTACTCGATTGGGTGCAGAAAAGCTATGTAGTTCAGAGCAGGAATTTATCTTCGCTTGTTTTTTCTGTGGATAAAAGTCACATTCTGAGGATCTCTCTGTGTAGAACCTACATGAACGAAGGGGATCATATAAATTATTGCTAGATGAATGTGACAACACCACAAAAAACATAGGATTTCATGCGTTTTTCGATGATTATTTTTCAAGTCTTGAGAATGATAACGAAACATCGTGATACAAATTTTAGTAATATGCTATTGTAGACAATTCCATATATTTTTCATCGATATTTTGTAGAGGATTGTTTGTCTTCCAGTATAACTAGATGTCCTCTTGAATATCCATTCGTGGTCTAGTAGTCATATACCCAATGACTAATTCATCTTCAAATTGAAACAAACCACGTTCGAATATGTGGAATTTTCACGAAAATATTCAATGTTGAATTTGATACAAAAATGTGTGAGACATCAACAAACTGGAACCTATAAGTTTTCATTGAATCAATCACTTAATTGAACAAATTTTCAACCGTTTCTATGTTTTTTTGTTCCCCCAGAGGGATGCAAGTGCACCCCTATGCACCCTGCGGCCGGCGTCCATTAAGAGGGTATACCCTGGTTAAAATCAGGTGACTCCTAGACTATATCATGCATTTTTTTATGTTGTGGATCCCACGGAAAGGGATATGCTGTAATGTTTGGAGAACATCGTGAGAACCAAGGAAAATAAGGTAGGAATTTGTGTTCTCCTCGAATTTCTGGAGTTTATATGCCTCGGGGCACACCTCACTTGGCAATGTGTTTCAGAGCCTCGCTGTTCGTTGGATGAACGAGTCTTTGGAAAGAGATGTTCTGCAGGTCTCCAAAGTGACCACGAAGGGGTGCGAAGCCTCAATTCGACGGGTTAATATTGTCACGAGTAGAACATACAGTATATTAGTAATTTGTAACCATGAGGGTTTTATAAACATAAAATTATTCAAATCATCAATTGACATTGAACTATGAAAACTGACCAAGGAACTCTCATGAGAAACGTGCAAATCTAATAAAATGATGTATATAAATATTGGATATGAGGGTTCCGAAGTTAGTCTGGTCTGGGGCTACTCTTGAATTGACAATAGCGCGTCGTAATGGTCGCTTCACCCATAATGTTTCATGCTATTATAAATATTGTTATGTTTGAATGTGGTCTCGTACTTTCAGTTACCCTTAAACTATTAGCGCGTATTTGAATATTACCTCGAATATTACCTTCCGCAAAATATTAAGCCAAGCATTACCCCTTATAAATCGATAAGGACGAATTAACCATCTCTATTTTATCGTAACAATATCGCGGGGACTGCCAAGGGAGGAACAATCGTTGATATTTCAGAAGAGCATCGTCCATGGAAATATCTATAAAATAGAGCCAGATCGCCAACTTTTCTACGGTGTTCCAGAGAAGTGAGTGAGTTTGTGAGCGAGGCATCACCCACGAGACGAATTGCCCTTTTTTGAACAGGATCCAACAGTTTCAGGGTATGTTTGGGTGCTGCACTCCAAATATGGAAACACTATTCCAGGACAGGTCGGATCTGTGCCTTATAGATTATAAGCAGCTGACTGAAAGTGAAATAGCTCCTGGCCCGAAACAGATTTACTTGAGTTTCTGTTAGTGCCAGAATATCTGGTTTTTCCGTTTGTAGATGATGGTGGACGTCATTGATGTTTTTGTTGAGTCCGCGGATGTTGCAGAAATTCATCTTCAGAGATGAGTCCGCTCGAGTACCTGTCGTCCGGAAACCCGAATGGAAAGGTATTTAATTTCCGGAGTATTTTACATGAGTCTTATACCGCATTTGATGTTCATAAAGGATTTCTACCACCCCGACATCAACAACACAATATCCTAGACACATTCATTCCCCTTTTTCTCACCTGTAAGGGTTGACTGCGACCAAGATGCTGCCGGCGTAAGTGTAGACCAGGTCTCTGTCGTAGCGCAGCTTCAGGTTCCAGAGCAGCGCAGCTTCGTGCAAATCTGACAGCTGGATCATGTCTTCCACGCCCATGGAGCCGAGATCTTGGCGCAGGCGCACTTGCCCTTCGCCGTCTGCCAGAGCGAAAGTCTGCGGCTGGAAACAAAAGGCATTGTGGGTCAAGGTCTATTAACTTCTATAAGGTTAGTATAGCATTAGGGAGCGGGGGTGCGCGGAGGGTCGTGACGTCACTGTTTCCCCGCCGTGTGATTGTAGATTTCGTTTTGTGACACTGTCAAATGGATTGAAAACATTTTTGAATTTGTATTCGAGAGAATCGCGAATTTTAGAAAATTCTCTTCACAAAGAGAGAGAAATTTGGCTTTTTCCCTAGTTGAAAATTCTCTTCATTAAAAATTGCTTGATCAGTAGCTCAACCTCCATATCCTTGAATGCCAACAGAAATCAGACCTGATGGAGTGATATTGCAATGAGAATTTGATTGTGTGTTTTTGTAATGTGTCTGTACAATAGGAGCACTGAGGACCTGAACATATCTTTCTAGATTTCTGTTTTCACAGTATTCTGTACTTGCTGCATGTTCTGGGAAAACAGTGAACTATCTCGTAAATACAAAATATATTGGAAAATTCCAAAATTCATCAAAATTCACTGGATTGCACAATGCTAAATTGGTTTGTTTTGTTTATCACCTCCGCCATTCTCATTTTGCCGCTCGACAAAAGACGACTGGGGAAACAGTGACGTCAGGCCAGAATATGAGGCAACCTTATAGAGTTAAATAGCCTTGATTGTGGGTATCCTTATTACCATACAAAAGTTGATATTCGATGTGATTACATAGTGGATGCTTTGTGATTAGGCACGAACAATAATAATGATGAAGATGGAAAAGCCCTAATTTCGAGTGACATCCGTCGAACTTTCCTGCCGATTAATCGACGGATGCCCCTCCGTTAGCTCAATTAACAGAGTGTTGGGCATGTAACCCAGAGGTTGTGAGTTCGACTCTCACACGGGGCGGTGGGGTTTTTTCATTTTCCATTTCTATCTTCATCATTATATGTATCTTTTCGGTTGAGTAACCGACAAAATTTATGTCTGACTCCTATGAACAACAAAAAAATACTATGACCTTCATCACGATGAGAAAATGCACTTAGGAATTTTTGAATTTCTTATTCGCTCTAGATTTCACAAAAAAATGCCCATGCAGATGCACCTTGATCATTGTCGATTCAGATTTGAGATTTACTGATCATCCAGCAACGTGTGTTAGGAGAGCTTATGGCACTTTAATATTACTCTATAGCTTTTCTAGAATTCTTGATGGGAAGGCGAAGAAAATATTGTGCGATTCATTAGTTCTGAGCCATTTCAACTTTTTTTTAATGGTATATCATCCTTGCTTGACTGTGCGTGATCGAAACCGAATACAGTATGTGCAGAATGCTTGTGCTAGATATATTTATGCAATCCGTAGACGTGATTCAATTTCATACAAAATCACCAAATAAAATTGGCTGACTATGCGTCAAAGATAGCTCTTACACACTTCTTGCTATTTTCATGAGGTTATCCTACAAAAAATCTCAAATTATTTTTATGAAAAAATCACATTTCGGGGAGATGTTCATTCAAGAAAAACTCAAGAAAAACAAGTTATTCCAGAGATTTTTTTAACATAGCTAAAATATACAATGCTCTCCCAGATTCGCTGAAGGTTTTGAATATCGGCAGATTCAGGTCTACATTGAGACAAAATATAATGGAGGAACAGTTTCGATTCAACTCCAATTATACATATAACTATAACTCCACGGTCAGTCGCATATAATAGATTTCTTCAGCTCCGTCGTCATTCAAATTTTTCCTCGAATTTTTCATTAATTTTCTCATTTCATATCATCATTTAGTTAATTTATCATTGATAATATTGATTTCATGAACCTATTATTTATGCTATAGATACATGTGTAGAAATATTTACATTTTTTTAAAATTGAATTGGGCATATTTTTTTATTTATTTTTGTGTAGGGTTGAATGGAAGAGCAGCCTTCTGCATTCTTCGAATGTGTGACTGAATTCCGGTCTTCTGTACCGTGGTATAAATAAAGGCATATTATTATTATTATTATTAGTATGAATCAGAGGTTCTCAACCTTCTCTTAGTCAAGGACCTCTTTTATATTATTCTAGTCAGCAGGGACTGCTAAGTAGCTATTATAAAAATTAAAAATGAACTGTAATACCTAATCAACAATATACTGTCTGTAGATTAGTGTCGAGGAGGTGTTACATTCATTTTACTTGATTATCTGGGATTTTCTCTCTTCGTTTCTACAAAATAAAAATATGAGTATTATTTCAATATATGTGTAGTAGGACAAATCAGATGGGCATTTTTCGCAATTGTTTTTTCCAATGATCAGACAATATTATTCTCGCCTACGTGTTCCTGAATTTTGTTGAAAAGTTCTATGATGCCTGTAATGCCTTGCGGTACGTATTCGATTGGCCACCCTGTATATACTCTCATTGATATTTTTGAATAATGGTTTACCCCTAGCCAATCAATGGTTTCTAAGGTTTCACCGCTGCTGAATAATGATATTACAAGTAATGAATACTTTTTTCAATAATTATTATGTTATTCGCTATTCATTACGGGCAAAATAATATATAAACCATGGCTAATGGATCATTGGCTGTTCAAACTTCCCTGTTATTATTACCAACGTAAGAATTTAGTGCTATATCGTTTAGTGTGAGAGTTACAAGACAATGTTATCTTCCGAATGAATGGAACTTTCTATTCCGAAGATCTTCATGGATTGATGAGTAATACCGGTGATATTACTCATGAAGATTTTTTATAAGTCTGCAGTATCTGTAGCTTCAATGGAAACGTTTCTCAGTTGTGTTTTCTGTAATTGATTTTGATTCAGAGTTGTGAAGAATTCACCATTCACTGGATGAGTTTGTTTGTTGTATGTTACATGGAATTGTTCTTTTTCTCCAAGCGGCATGGAAAGTGGCTTATCTATGACACCATTGGCATCAATTCCGGCGTTCCACAAGGGTCAATTTTGGCACCAACATTATTCCTTCTTCATATCAATGATCTGTTGGGAGTAACAACTTGCCCCATCCACAGCTTTGCAGATGATAGTACCCCCCATACTGCGTTCTTTTCCAGAATTCCTATTTCTTCCCAGGAAACTGAGAACTCACGGCGCAGCCAGGTCAATGGTGTCAGTGGAGACCTTGCTGAAATCACAGCCTGGGAAACCAACAACCTATTTGAATTCGCCGCCACCAAAACTCAAGCCTGTATTTTCTCTAGAAAGGCGGAACGCAGTATGCCCGACATTGTAATGTCAGGCACCACCATCTCCACCAAGCCCACCATATCTATGCTCGGTATTTTCATCAGCAACACTCTTTCATGGGATAATCATGTCAGATCCATCGCAAAAGCTGCTTCACAAAAACTCGGATTCTTGTTCCGTGCTAAAAGCCACTTTACACCTCAACAGCTTCTCATGATCTACAAAGCGCAGATACGGCCTGTTCTAGAATACTGTTCCCACTTATGGGGTTCAGCACCAAAACATACGCTGATGCTCTTGGATTCCATCCAGAGAAGGGCCATCCGCCTGGTGGGTGACGCCACACTCACTCACTCTTTGACATCATTGGAACACCGTAGAAAGGTCGGCGACCTTTCACTTTTCTATCGATACTTCCACGAGAAATGTGCTTCGGAAATCTCTGCTATCATCCCTTCACTAGCAATACCAGTCAGACGAACTAGACAAGCCCAGTCAGCACATCCTTTCGTTGTCAACCTCGAAAGATGTCGAACAGCACTTCATCAAAACTCCTTCATCCATAAAACGGCTAGGCTCTGGAATTCATCTCTGAGGAAGTATTCCCAACAACATATAATCTCCAGAAGTTCAAAAAAAATTCCAATTCCTACCTCCTATCCCTATCCTCCCTAGGAACGCACGATGTTCTCTGAACATTATAGGGATTTCCTTTCGTGCGCTCCAAGCGATAAAAAAAAACACTGAACAGGCATCAAAGGACTATGTATACTTTCTCTGCCTAGTTTTTTGAATGAAATTGGTAATCAAAATTGACACTAGCATTGAATGAGCACAAAATGATGGCGTTACACAAAATTGGTTCAATAACATTTGGAGAAAAAATGCAATGTTTCACACGGCAGCACATGTATATTTACTACCGCGGCTGAATTCTTGGCCCCGCTACGCTCGGCTATGAACTGATTGGGTGAACACTAAATGATGGAGTTTTCATAAAAAAAATACACAAAATTGCTTTCATGACATTTGGAGGAGAAAATCATATGTTTCATCTGATGGCAGCAAGGTAAAGTGACAGCCCTGTATAAATTGGATCAATCAATCTACTGATGCTTTGCTGCCTAGTGAAACTAATAACTATATTTTTGATAATTTTGGAAAGGTGAATACGAAAAATACAGTGAAATCTGAGTTTCTTCATTTTTCAACGAGTAACAAAAATAAACCACCTGACTTAAGTTTTTTCCAAAGTGCTATTTTAGTTTCCGAGTTCATAATCTATTATCATTTAAGATAGGTACACTTTGACTGTGTGTTCTGTCGTTATAGATGGCAGAATTCCTCTAAAAAATATACGAGGATGTAAATAGTAGAATTTGATTTTTTGACAGATTTTGGCCACTTGAAATTCCATAAATATATAGGGAGATTCCGTTTTTTTTTTTTTCAAACAAACGAAATTGAGTGTTTATGATGCAGATTCTCCTAGGAATAATTATACGAAATCTTTTCTTTTATTTCAATAGAAATTCGTTCCAACAAACTTTTGATTTTTTTTCCTGATCACTCATATAAATATACAGGGTGATCCAAAAGTAACCGGCAAACTCTCAGGGGCGTATTCCTTGCACGAAAATGAGGTGAAAAGTTCCTATTGGTAAGGGTACGAAAATGCTTCCTAAGGAAGCTACGCTTCTTTGAAAAGGACACCTCAAAGACGATTTTTCCTCTATAATTTCAAAATCCTTCGCAATAAATCTTCGAAAATAGGAACTTTTTGCCTTATTTTCATGCAAGG